TAGGCGTCTGTGGGGCATACCTGATTCAGAATGGTGTATCCATGCACATCCTCCATTCCCCCGTCGCCTTAGGCACTAAAACAAAATTGGACAACCACGTTGTGTACTTGGCTTCCTCTACAAACCCTGCTTCCCGCAACTTCTCCACCTCCTTCCTAAGTGCCTCCTCTTTTTCTAATGAGATCGGGCGCTTCTTCTGTTGGATGGGGCGCACGCCCTTTGCTATTGCCAGGCAATGCTCCGCAACTTCCACCCTTAACCCAGGCATCTCCTTCACGCTCCATGCAAACACATCCGCAAATTCCTTCAACAAGCGAACCAGGGGTTCCAGCTCATCGCATGTCGTGTGCGTCGAGATGGGGACGCATCTGTCGGGGCGCAGATCATCCTGTGGTACATGAATTTCCCCGTCTGTTGCCTCGGCCCTAGGCAAATCCTCGGGGCGCATGTCGATATTGTACATTCGGCTCCTTTTGGCCAGACGCGCCTCTATGGACGCCTCCCCTCTTGATATTCCAATCCCTTCTAAAGTAACAAACTTCAATGTCTGATGGCAGGAAGAGGCCACTCCGTTAAAGAGGGCTAACAGGGGGCGTCCCAAAATCGCGTTGTATAGTGAAGGGCAGTTGACTATACCGAATTCTACTGTGTGGGTCACGCTATGCGCCTCATCGCCTAACGTCATTAGGAGGCGCACGCGCCCAAGCACTTTAGCCGCCGCCCCCGAGAATCGAATCAACACTATGTCCGCCGGCTCTACCATGCTGCCGGCCAGCTGCATTTTTTCGAACGTGGACAAAAACAACACGTCCATTGAGCTTCCCGTGTCAACCAGCATCCTCTTGACTTCATACCCAGCCACCACACCTCGGATTTCCAGCGCTTCAGTGGAGGGCGTCTGGCACGCCTCCTTGGGCACATCATTGAAGCGTATTTGTATGGCTTCCCTCGCGCTTGCGGTGGCCAACTTCAGTCGTCTCCCTTCTTCCAGCTTCTGCCTCAGGTCTATTGATTCGGTGATAGCTTCTATGGTCATCCTCACGCGATTTGGGTTGGCCTCTTGCTCTACGTCGAATGGGGGTGGTGGCAAGGCGACCTCCTCTTTAGGGAAGGCGCCCTCTGGCTCTCTCTCAGCGACGGGCGTCTTTGCTTGGGCCTCCGGCGCCACGAACGTCCGTTGTGCCCTCTCATCACCTTTCTTTACAAACTCGTTTAGCATTCCATTGTGCACTAACCCTTGGATCTTGGATTTCAACTGGTAGCAATCTGCGGTGTGATATCCTCTCTCACGATGGAATTCGTAATATCTATCGAGATTTTGCTCGTTTGGGCGCCCCCTCATGGGTCCTGGCCACCTCAAGTGATACCCCTTGTCTTTTATGTATTGCAACACGTTCTTTAGCGTGTCATCAAGCTATGTGAAGTTCCCTGCACTCTTCTGCATAGGTCTTGGGTTCTCCATTCGACGCGCGGAGAACACTTTTGTTGTCACCGACGGCACGCATGGCGCGCGATAACCTTCGCTTTCCTCAACCTTCCCCTTTCGCCTGTCAAATCGACGGGCCGCAAGTGTTTCCTCCAACATAATGACCTTTGGCACCCTTCTGTCAAGGTTCTTAGTGGATGTCACGTCCCTCTTCGAGAGCGCCCGACACAACTCTTCGCTGGTCGTGCATTCGTTCACACAACACCCCAGCACCGGAGGCTTAACATCCTTCACCGCCATAACCACCGACATCCATCGCTCGTAAAACTCCCTAAGTGGTTCGTTCTCTCTCTGGCGAACTCTGAATAAGGCGCTTATAGTGAGGGTCCTACGCTTCCGGCTCGCGAACTTTGACAGGAACAGGAAAGCGAAGTGCTCAAAACAATCGATACGTCCTTCTTCTATCTGGTGATACCAATCCAACACCACCCCTGTGGACGTGGAGGGGAATGCACGACACATCGTGGCGTCGGTGCTACTGTACAATTGCATTTTCGTGAAGTAATTGTTCAAGTGGTCCTCCAGGTCCGTCGTGCCATCGTAGCTTGGCAAGGCGGGTATAACGGAGATTGGCTGTTGAGCCAGGATGTTTCTGGCTAACAGCTGCTGAACTCCCCAACTCTTCCCCGCGCACCTCTGCGCCTAGTTGTTGTAATCGTCATAGTCCGACTCCAGGTGTCGAGTTAAGTGCCCCATCTCTTTTGTGCGCCTCGCGAGGCTGGACGCTCCTTCCCCGTCGTCGTCTCGCTCCTTCTGCTTTGACCCGGGCGTGAGCAGGTCACCCCCGCCCTTCTTGAGAGCCTCAACCTCGATCTGAAGGGCCTGATCTTGACTTTCGATGATTTGAATCAACTCCTCCTTGGTGAGCGGGGCGCCTTCCGTCTATGCGCTCTCCTCAACGCGCGGACTCACCCTTCCGTCGTGCGCTTCTGCCTCCCTTGATCCATCTGTCCCCCGCTCGTGCAACTCCGGGCCTCCTTCCTTCTCGCCAGACTCGGGAGCCTCCATGCTTTCTTGCGGTTATACCCCTCTATCTGGCACGCCAATTGTTTATGCACCACAACCCTCCTCTTCATGTCACGCGCCTCACTTCCTACTGCACTTCCTACACGCGCACTTCCGCCTGCACACACAAGCACCTAGCGGACCAGATAGGTCCATTAGCACTCTGACGCCCAAGTGAGAATCCTTATTCTAGAGAGAGAAGTGAAGAACAGTTCTAGTAAGAGAAGCAAAACTGAGTAAATGAGGTTTACCTACTTCACTATTTATACCCGAAGCGAGGTCGACCGGTATCCGTCGCTCTCGCCTTGTGTCAGGTCTGCCATAAATGTGTCATACCATCCTTGCGTATGCGCCTCGACCACCTGACACCCTCGTCAGGAGTTCGAGGCGCATAACATCATGTGGCCAGCTTTTCGTACACTTCCGACCGTTGGGTGTCTTTTGTCCTATGCACCTCTTGCCATGTGTCCGGTCCCACCTGCCCCATACACTACCTTGGTTGTTAGGGCCCCTCGCCACGCGCCTTTAGGCCCAAGGCCCTTGCCCCCATGGGCTTCTTTGGGTTGCCCCTTGGCCCATACTTGTTCCCCCAACAAGTTCAAATGCTAAATTGATGACTAATGCAAAAATCGATTTTGAATAAAACTGTCACTTGATTTCTGCCTGTGGTAACTCACAAGAGTGTCACTCATTAAGAATACTACTCTACAATTAGAGCCACATACCGACCCAATGAATGACTAAGTTTGAATTTAGAATACATCTTTTTGGTAGAAAGAATTCTATATGTTGAAGGAAATAGTTTCACAGTATTATGCCAAAAAATAACAACATCAATATGTCTAAGATGTTCTCTCTCAATGATTTAGCCATTAAATATATTTTTATCTCAATTATTGTTAAGATTGTGCCTATTAATTTTATGAAAGACATGTAACTTCCATAATTATATGAGTTATATTGTAGGAAAATAATGGGTTTAATGATTTTTATTATTATAATCTAATTAGAATTGTTTACACGAGTTTATGCAAAGTAGTGAAGGGACAATTATAAAGTGGAGGGTAAGCAATGTTGCAAAGGTGGAGGGGTTTTGGGCAATTATACTTTTGAATTGAATAGTAATTCTCAATCTAACTTGATGTTTTGAAGAAAAATATTGAGTATATATGGTTTTATAGTTTATAAGATTAAGATTTTTTGAAGTTGGGTGATGCTGAGAAACTATTTCAAAATAGTGGCAAGAGGACACCCTCCTTCCCTTCTTCTACTAATTGAGGTAATTGAGTGAAAATCACATTAATGAGAGAATAGAAAATTAAATATCTCATAAGTGAATTCATATTTTAATTATGGAAATAGTAGAATCGACAATAAAGATAATTATGTTGTTAATGGTTGAAACAATTATGTTGTTGGTGGTGGGCTAATGACAAAGAAGCCAAAAGAAAATCGCTCTAATGTGTGACCACATGTAGTGAAGTAAAGTGTAACTTGATTAATTTTTTCAGAGTTCAACTTCCTTGCTTTAGTCTTGGTTTTAATTTCAATAAGAACTTCCATAGATGACTCAATCTGATTATTGGAAAACTCTATCGTGTAAGCCAAAAAAAAAAATTCAAGTGATTGAATAATTCTGCTTTTTTATGGTCCCAAATAAAAATATGTTCCTTTGTACAATTGATATATTTTATTTATGTTATTCAAGTAAACATGCAAAGAAAGCATTTTTGTAAAAAATAAAACTTTGAGAGAAAATTGGCATCCTCACAAAAGGAGCAAAATATAAATTCAAGTTTTTAATAATTATCATTATTAAGACAAGGGAACAACTGACATTAACGTATGTTTGGACAAATTTTGCAATAATGTTAATTCGGAATAGTTAAATAAAATGTGGTTATATAATTTTCATAGGATTTGGCTTCTTTGCATCATTGCATGAGTTAAAATGTTGAAAAATTCTAATGACGTAGGTTATTTTCCATATATTTTTTTAGATGGAATGTTTTATATTCTATAAGGTACTAACAAAATAGTATTTAAATTCATACAATTACTATTTCTGTTTTAAAAATTGTGAAATGTATCCATCCAACGGGCCGGGTTTCAATATAGTTTAGAATATATTGATGTATAATTTGATATGTTTTTTTCTAATAACGAATTTTATTTTTGATCATACTACATCCTCTTTTTCTATTATACTCTTTTAATTCGATCACACTACATCTTCAGTTTTATCATATGCAGTCCATAAAAAGAGTATAATGCAAATGTATTAAAAAGTAAAGAAAAAAGTATCTCATTGAATAATTAATCAATTTGTCGATAAAAAAGTACCAGACCTAACCCTACACCCAGCCAAACATCCAGAGGGCCGGGCCTGTCTCGAACCCAGCGTTGTTTAAAGAAAAACATGCTTAAACCCAACCGAAGCAATTGGGCTTTGGGCCCGTGCTCTACCTTAAAATTTCCGCGGGACTCAACCAACGTCCCAAACCCCTATTTATAACCGAACTGGATCTCCGTTCGTCGCCCTCACGCGAAGACTGCGATTCCCGCCGTCAGTCCCCTTCCTTCCCAGACAGCAATCAGAGATTTCGGTCGCCATGGATCCTCAGCCAGAGCCAGTCAGCTACATCTGTGGAGGTAACACAAAAAACAAGAACAACTTCTCATCTCTTTGCTTGTTCCCGTGAAGAAGTCTCGCTCCAACTTCTGATGGTTTAATGGATTCTGTGTCTATTTTTTTTTTCTGTGGTCGTAGATTGTGGGACGGAGAACACTCTGAAGCCCGGCGATGTCATCCAGTGCCGAGAGTGCGGTTATCGTATCCTCTACAAGAAGCGCACCCGCCGAAGTAATTCTTCTTTCCCTTTGCCCTACTCTATTTCAATCGCGAGAAATAGGGTTGATGTGCTATCCTTGGGTTTAATTCTCGCTCTCAATCACTACTCCACTGGTCGTGAACTCGTGATTCAAGTGATGCTCCCTTTTTGGGCTCTTTTGTTTTATTGGTAGGATGGAGGATTCCCTATCTCCATTCCTATATCGCCCATGCTTGTAGGCTCATCTTTTCACCGCATTACAATCTGAGAAAGTGTAATTGGAGAAATCTGAATGCTAAAGGTTGTGACTTGGGTTACCTTGACAGATATTAAGCTGTACACTGTATCTCCTATCGTGATGAGATACTTTTCATCCTTTTTTTTTTCTTCTTTTTTTGGGGGGACAAAAGACACTTTCCGAATTTCGTCATTGCTACCTCTAAATAAGCACACACTTTGGGGTTTCAAGTAGCGATGGGAGTGCGAAAGCATTTTGTACTGTTCCTGGTTGTTGTTCTGCATTTTAGTTCACGCCATCTTACTGACAAAGTTCTTTCACATTGCTGCTCAATGATTCTAACACAGCATCTGTGTGCTTTTGGTTGCAGTTGTTCAGTACGAGGCACGCTAGAGAACGATTCTTCACTTGCTGATGACTGTGTTTACTTGAGTTGTTTGTGATAATCTGAAAGGGCTATGTTTGCCAGTAACTAAGACAATATATAATGAATATATTGATGTTGGCGCGTTGCAGTTTGTAAAAGTCACTCAGACAGACGAAATGGCATGAACTGTGTGTGCCATTTGTGACCCTTTGATGTGTTTGATGGAATTGTGTTAGTTCTGTGGTGTTTTGGCCTGAAGTTCTTTTTCATTAGTGCTATGCCCTTAACTAGCTAGCAGTAATACTGACACTTTCACCATAGATAAAGTAAACTGCGTCCACTATAATAACTGTAAGATAAATATGAAGAAGTTACTCTGTAGCCCCTTTTTCCGTGTGGTCTATCTCCTCTATATTACCCCTCTATATCAGAAGAAAAACTGTAACCGATGCTGTGCGAAATAACTATAGCGAGAGTATCAAAATTATAATGCTACAGCTCAGGAGCAATACCATCCAGGAAGAGCAGCTCAAACTGGAAAATTTCCAGTACAAACTGTCGCTAAATACCGTCATCTGTAACATCTCTACTAACACCCTCAAAATTGCTACCAACCCGAAAACCAAGCACACCGAGAACACGACTATACCCTTGTTCTCGAGCCACACTTGATTCTCCTCAACCTTCTCAATCCTCGTTCTGGCAATACATTGAACAAGATGAATTATAAAACAATGTTTGGTCGATTGTTGCAACACTAGGTTAGAGGTAAGGGAGGAAGAGGAAGTAACCTGAGATCAAGGTTGTCCTTCAGGATATGATCCATTTTCGTTGTAAGAAGAGACTTCCAAGAAACAAGATCGTTAACCTCTCCAGCCTGAAAGAATGAAAAGCGGTGGTCAGTAACATGTGATAGTTGGGACAAATACCACTCTGGTGTCCGGTCCAACACAAAGCAATCAGAATGAACAGAAGAGCCACTTGCCATAAGTTGCTGGCTGTCATGGAGACTCTTTACGTCGTGTTTGATCTTCTCCAGAAGCAAAGTTTTCTGTGCTATATCTTTGTCGAACTCTTGGAAAATGTTGCCATACCTGGAGTTAACTTCCTCAACATACCGTTCCAAGATGGAGAGGCTGAGGTCGAGCGAACGGGCTTTCTGCATCAGTATTTTTAGTGCGCTGTCACCATTACTCCTCCCAGCTTGATGATAAGGAATTCCTTCGACCGTATCAGTAGCCACTTTGGTTTTCGAATCAGGAGTTTCGACTGACAAAAACTCAGGCTCATCTTCTTTAAAAGTGTCCTGATGACGATGATAATCAACCCCCTGCGAGTGTACCGATGATTTTTGCTCAGCAGTACCCTCCTCACCGTGCACAAAAACCTTCTGATGCACTGATACCAAATCCTCCAGCATTTTCTCAACAGCATCAACCCCATAAACCTCGAAAAGGCTAAGCGTACAATAGAACTCAGATCCATAATGGCTCAGAAGATTCAATTTCAGATATCTCACCCATTTGTGCTCTGGAAGCACAAACCTTCTCGCCTGCTTCACATTGGCAGTTGTAAAGTTCCCCAGCTTCACCCATTCTGAAGTTGGATAAACCAAGCTACCAAGCACCTCGAAATCCTTCAGATTCGATGAGTAATGCTCGAAATTCGCAATCTCTATAGTATCTACTAAAGTTTCTTCTGAGAGCTCGATTATGACATACTTCTCTTCTGCAGAACACGGATTGCGGAGGTACTTATCCTTATCTCTCATTAGGATGTTTGAGGCCCCTTTTGCTTCCTTGTTAAAGGCCAAGACTTTTGCTCCTTTTGAAGCTGAAGCATAGTTGTACTCCTTCCCTCCCGGCTCCATTCTGTGTACAACTTTACCAGTTCCTGTTTTGGTTTTGGAGCTGAAAGCACGGCTTTTGAATTCATCAAGCCCAAGAGTGACAACTCGCGAGAGGCGATCGTTCTTTGGACCTATATCTCCTGGTCTCCCACCGCGGGTTTCCCCCTGATGGCGAAGATCGAGTCCATAATTGCTGTTACCTTCAGCAATAACCTCATTCGGATCTTTCGTTGCAGCAGGATATGTACATGAAGTCTCGTCAGAATGCTCACTGACTTCTTTATGTACTGAATCATAATTCTTTCCATTTTGAAGTTTCTCTTCTGTCCAAGTCGATACTCCCACATCCTGTGAAGTTTCTGTAGATCCATCTGACAACCAAGGACATAAATAGCAAAAATCCAAATTAGTTCCTCATAGAAAAAGCAATTGAAAATTGAATATATCAACAGTGCATTAAAGCAACTTCTTGCTTAGCAAGAAATGCAAAATCCCAAATCGAAAGCCAGTCTTTTACTTGGAAGTGATAATGTTATTATCTTCCCTGTCACGTGTACCCAAAACAACACTTTGGAAGTGAGGTAGAGCAGTTGAGCTACTCTGATCAGTTTTCGTTTTCTAAAGAAAACAATCAGCTGTGGTCAGACCACCAATAATCTGGTAGCCTGCGTCTAGATAATGATCATCTGGACAGTCAGCTCCTCCCAACAAAGTCTTAACCAAAGTCACCAAAATGAGGAAAACACATGGGGTTTCCTCATCTATTTAGCATATCAAGCAAAAGAGACTGATAGAATATGTCGAAAGTGCAAGATAAGGGTTTCATGTACTTGACATATCCTCAGGCATAACTAATTAAAGTAATTCTTAAATCAGCGGTAAAGCTTAAGAGATTTTTACCTCTATATCCATCACTTTGGCTGATCCACAGACTTGATAGGAAAACAAGCCCCCACAAAAGAAGAACCAAAGACAAAGAAAGCTTGTACAACCGATTCTTCCCACCAGTATCCTTCTCTAAAGAAGCTCTTCTTTGCAGAAAATCCCTCCGTGATCTCTGCATCCCTACATCAATCCAAGGGAATCCTGCCCCTCAATTCATTCAGTCAACCAATGAACAAAATGGTCAAAATCTGCACCAAATCGAAATATTGAATATCAAGGCCCTTTACTGCAATGGAATGAGCAGACCCTATCATAAATGCCGAGTCCTAATGGCTTTCGGAGATCTTAAAGCTTTGAAATTGAAACGAAGTAGAAAGAAGTTAAGTATGAAATGTGATTGAAACGGGACGCAGTCAATCGGTGATTACTCGAGCGTTGATCAAAGCGATGCCAATTGAACGAGAAAGACAAAGTAAACAGCAGGAGTTAGACTGGCACTTGAGCTGCCGCCCATGACCCCGTTCCAGCTCAAATACTCTGGCAATAACTTCGTAGAAACGGCAAACCCAAAGCAAACGGCAAGAAGAAGAAGAAGAAGAAGAAGAAGAAGAAGAAGAAGAATGACCATAGCATTCATGTTAAAAACCCACGTACGTACACTTCAATCACACGGTAACGGAAGAAAGCAAAAAACTAGAAAAAGAAAAAGGTCCACCGAAATCCGATGGATATTCTAAGTGAAAAAATTCCGCAAAAGATTGATGCAGATCGAACAAGGAAACCCGGAACTCCGACGACGGAATGAGCTTCCGCCGATCGAAACCTCGGGATCCTGGCACTGGAGGGAAAACGCGGCGTCGGAAATCGAAAAAAAGGAAACGCAATCAAATCGGAACAAACAATCACCTGAAATTCACAAATTGCGAGACGGGAAGCAAGGGTCGGCTGGCGGCTGGAGAATCACACCGGCACAGCCCTCGGAAGGCGGCCGGGAGGAGGAGGCAAGGAGAAGAGAATCGCGGGGTGGGAGGGGGGGTAATATTTGGTGGTGAGCGTGCCGTCGTTCCGCTTTTTTAATTTAAGTTTGGCCCGCTTTTGAAAAGCAACTTCGGGCTGAAATTTTGAGATAAATACTTTAAAAAAAATCACTTGAGTGTTTGGTTGTAAAACTATTACAAGTGCTTTTTAATATGAGAGGTTATGTAAAATGACTATAAAGGACTTATAATATAAAATATGAATAAAAATTCTGAACAATAAAAAATAGTCAAAATCGATCTTGTTAGATTTCTTTTATTTAAATAATATGATTTTATAATTTATTTTATTTTTAAAATGATATAAATGAGGAAAAATTATATTTTATGAAATAAAATTAAAATATGGTAAGGATAATCTTGTATTTTCAAAACAGCTTTTCGCAGAAGCTCCAAATCGGACCTTCTGCTTTTATGTTATACAAAAGCGCTTTTCGGCTTTTCAAAAACCAAGCTTTCATAGGTGTTTGGCTCTGCTTCTCCTTTTGAAGCAGAAAAGCACTTCTAAAAATCGGGCCAAACATAGAGTTAGTTCTGTACTTCTGTTGCCTAACCGCCGCTCTTCTTTCTAACTTCTTCGTCTCCTTTCCGGTAACGGATCTCTCTCTCTTTCTCCTTTCAAATTGAGAAGGGAAATTACTTCTACAGATTTTTCTAAGCATGACTGACTAATCTTTGAATAAATAAAATTTCAAAATGTAAACAACTGACTAATCTTTGAATTAATAAAAGTTCAAAATGTAAACAGTTTTACTTAAAATAGGGGAGCGGATCAGGTCAGTAACTCTTATGGTGAGTAATCATCAGTAACATGTCCACATCTGCATGACATCGGCATCCCCTCTCTCCTGGAAAGTCTTTTGTATTTTCCCCTTTAATCTTTCACGGACGATTGATGAATCAGATTAAATGTGCTCTTTAAAATTATATCCACTTTGATATATTTTTAGTACAAAAAAATTGAATACTTTTTTACCAGTATTACGAACATACCAATATGGTAAGAAGGTTGAATACATGATAGTAGGAGTATACTAACTGTCATTTACGACTTTCATCATTGTTTACCACAAGTTACCACCCACATACCATAGTGGTAAAGTATGATAATTTTTGGTCCAGTATTTTTTTTCACCCAGAAATTTGTAAATTCAATAGATCATGATGAACTCGTTCCTTCTGAGCAAACGTTTTCAGAAACGATTTAAAAATGAAGAAGTTACCATATGGCATATGGTATGTAGTTGGTAAAAAAAAAAGTTTCTCGAAATATATTGAAAATTGATCTCATTTTGTACAGCACAACGAACTCGTTCCATGTGTGAAAAAAAAAATTGAAATCCGAGTTAAAACGAAGAAGATAAGAGTCGATTATGAAAACTAGAGAAAATAAAATGCTTTTAATTGACAATCCTTAGATCTGAATTTTCTGGGTCCACTTAGATCTAATGGTCCAGATTTAGTTACTCATAGGTTAGTAACCAAATGTTACTGACCCTATCCTAAGCTTAGAATCATATGCAATGATAAGTTAGTTTTGGTTCCATGTCCTGGCTTAACCATTTTTCCTCTATTGTTAATAGATGGATTGCTTTAAATCATTTTAAAGAATACTGTACTGTATGCGGAAAAAACCTATATAAATTGACCATAAAAGTTTAATTGTACCTTAATATGTTGGTCCTACTATTTGGATGAAAGAAATATAATACACCAGAGGTCAAAGATACTTCAAAGAAGTATATGCCGACATCCCATAGACACAATTTACTCCCTTTCTATCATTTGGCTAACTATCCGTGTCCATGAATATAGATAGCAACCAGAAGCTTTGAATACTCTCTTGTTTTGATGATCGACATAAACATAGAGATTCTGTAAATTAAATTGGCAGGTCACAGGAGAAATATATGGACATTTGTGAGAGAAATGAAATGGACGAATTGGAGGAAACCTGTCGTGTGGAGCAGCCGATATAAAAGGGAAAAGATAGTATAACAACAGTCCGTATGTTGTTACGGTACCAACAACAATTATTAAGGACAAAAAGGTAAATTAATATAAAAACAAAATAAAATCAAAATCTTCTCCTCCACTAATTTCCGATGCCCCAATTTTCCCTTCCCCGATCTGGGTTTTTCCTCCGTCTTCGCCTACCTTTTCTCCTCCGCCTCTCTTTCCTTCTTTGTTCCGGCGCCGATCAATGCCTCCACACGAGCCTTCCACCGACGATCCCCACCACTAATGTCCTTCTCAGGCTCCTCCCGTTGCCGGCCGGCGACGTATACTTCCTCAGACGCAGACTCCCAGGGCGCAACGCTCCGACGCAGACTCCCAGGGCGGCGCCGCCCTCGCAACCCATAAACTCAGTGTCGTAGAGAAAGAACGGGAACCAGCCGATCCAGTCGAGGGACGTCACCATCAGGAGCACAATCATCATGTGTCTCTTCGATTCGATTTCGTCTCCCTTCATATTCATTGCTGAGGCTGTGGAATCGACAAAGATTGGGCCGACGACGAGAGCGGAGACTGAATCAACACAAATGGTTTGAATACATGAGGTCGCTGCGGTTGCGAAAGTCGGTGGGAGATTTTGACTGTTGCTGCAAATCTGCTGGGAAATTAATCGTCTCGTTGTGGGCGGTGTTTCAGGTAATCGTCACCGTGTCGCCATCATCAGAGTAACGACAGCCATGGATTTCGACAAATCGTCGGACCTACGGAGAAGCACTATCCCAAAGAAGCCGACTTTCTCTCCTACAAGGGGCGGATGCGACGGCGGTGTTTCAGGTAATCGTCACCGTCACCGTCATCGTGTCCTAAATGAATCTTAGTTTCAGAGCAGGAGGAGAGTCTCCTTGATTTATGTGAATCATTCTGGAAGTAGAGCTGCTTGCATATACATGTCTTAATTGTTTATTGGAGCATCACTGGGGCTCAATCTTGTTTGTGTTTTTGCAGGCGGTGATGGAAGTTTACAACATGTATAGGTCTCAACTTTCAGCCAAAAAAATACTTGTCATGTATGATGCCTTGCATGATGTGGCATCATCCCAATTAACACCGACTCCCAGCTGCGGTCAAGGCTACAGGAATTCAGCTCCATCACTCAAATGCAAGACCCTCCGCTTCTGTGGCTGGAGAACGAATAGTATCAAGTTGACTTGAAAGTACATCAAAAGTCTTGGAATGCACATCATAAATCTTATAAAACATACCACAAATATTACAAAAGCATACCACAATTATTTAGAAAGCATACCAGAAATTTGCTAATGTAGACTATAAATTGTCTAAAACATACTAGAAACATCACAAAGCAAACCACAACTATTTCTAAAACACACCAAAAACCTCATAATGCAAACCAGAAACCCCCTAATGCAAACCACAAACACGGTAAAGCAAACCAAAAACGTCATAATGCATACCACAAATATATTAAAACAAACCAGAAATCTCGCAAAGCAAACCAAAAAAGTTTCGAAAGCACACCAGAAACTTCTTAATGCAAACCAGAAACCTCCTAATGCATACCACAAATCTCCTAAAACAAACCACAAACCTCACAAAGCAAACCACAACATTTGGAAAGCACAGCAGAAACCTCCTAATGCTATCACAAACACAGTAAATCAAACCACAAAAAAGCAAACCATAAACGTCCTAATGCAGACCACAAATATATTAAAACAAACCAGAAACCTCACAATGCAAACCACAAAGTTTTTGAAAACAAACCAGAAACTTCTCAATGCAAACCACAAACACGATAAAGCAAACCACAAAAGGCATACAAAAAATACGAGAAACCAAACCATAAATCTCACAATGCAGACCATAACATCCGGTGATCGTTGACCGTTGACCGGTCAACGAAGTTCGTTGACCAAACTCCGGTGACCGTCAGTGAGCAGATTCCGACGCCGATAGGCATATTCCGGCCCCGATGACTAGATTCCGACGCAGGTAAGCATATTCCGACATCGGTAAGCATATTACGGCGACAAATAGCATATTCCGGTGATAAAAAGCATATTCCGGTGACCGACGACCAGTTTCCGGCGACCTGTGGCAAAATTCTGGCAACCAAATTTTTTAGCAGAAAATAAAAAATATTTTTTTTATTTTTATTTAAACATATTTTCATAATGACAATTATACCCCTGCTTTGATTTTACACTAGGTCAACTCAACTAATAAAAAGTCATCACATCCCTACCTTCCTATTGGTGGAAGACTAGTGTTGTCACTATAACAACACAAGGGGTTTCCCAAGTCCGATTTTGTTTCGGACTCCTTCATTTCTGCAATTCGTGCCTGATTCGTGGGTAGGGTCTATTAGTTGCAGTACTTCTGAGCAAGTGTTTTTTCTTTGGTTGCTTTCAAGTTTCCCCTGCCCCAAAAACCTATCCTAGTAACGGATATGGTTCACATTGCAATGGTTGTTCGAATTGTAATCATTTTCCAAATTATTACTAACGTAATACTTGATTGTGATTACCTCAGCTGTTGCATACCAAGAGAAAAAATTCCAGGAGAAGTTGCAGAAGACGCGCGAGTTATGCCCTGAAGGGGCACAGTGGCTGGATGGACACGACCTATCCATGTGGACATTTCATAAAGACGGAGGTACAAGATGGGGTATGACCACAACGAACTCATCAGAGAGTATCAATTCTGCTTACAAGGGTGTTCGGGCGATGCCAATCTCTGCCATTGTGGAGATGACTTTCTGGAAAACGAATGGATGGTTCGTCAATCGACTACACTAGGCAAGGATGAACGAGGACAGGGAAAGGTCCATGCCAATAAAGTCACGGAAATACTGGAGCATGACAATCGGAAGAGTAGTCGACATAGTGTAACCGTTATGAATCGAGCAACTGGCGAGTTTAGCGTGACGACCGGACACCATGAGGATGGTAGATGCGGGGGCCATCGCCATGAAGTTTTGGTAAATTTCAGGACAAAACAGGGTGAGTGCTCATGCCAGAAGTATCAGGGGAAAGGGTGGCCATGTTCTCATGCAATGGTTGTAATTAAAAATAGGAGCAAAGACCCCCGTCACTTCGTCAGTCCATTCTTCAATATCGACTCACTCAAAAATTGCTATGGACGGAGTTTCCGTGCATTGCCTGATGAAGCTTATTGGCCGGTGTACTCAGGAAAGTTGATAATCCCGCCGTTCGGATAGAGGCGTGAACCGGGTCGACCGAGGAAAAAGAGAATTCAGAACGAAATGGATCAAAGTGGAAGACCACCACGAGGCCCAAGACAATGTTCAGTATGCAGAGTTCCAGGGCATGATAAATGAAGTTGTCCAGGTCCGATTGGTCCGCAAAATCTGGGTCCTGATGTGGGGGGCTCAGCTAATGCGACATAGTTTGCGGTTTTCATTTGTTGGAACTTGTTATGTATGTTTTCAATTATTGTCAGAGTTAGAGCTATGATGCTTGAAACTTTCGTGTTTTGCAAATAACCATCAGTTAACACTCAAGCCTTAAGTGAACACGATCAAAATAGAGAAAGCCAAGTACTTAGAACTGAAATAAAAACTAAAACAACACTCAATTAAAGAAACTAAAATAGGAGGGAAGGGTTTCAAGTACATATAATTAAAAATAACTAAAAACAACAATTAAAATGATAAAACTAAAAATCCATCTCAAGGAAGTCCCTGGGACTCAGGGGGCTGCAATGTTTTCTGGCTCCTTGTACGACGGCCAACGGGAGTGACCATCGGTGGTTGCGGTGGCAAGCTTCGATGGGTCGTGCTAGAAAGGACTGGGAATCCGGTCCCGGTTTTCTGGTCAAACCGGAAACCGGCCAGTTAAAACCATGTCGGTTGAAAGTGAAAACCGAATCCCAACCAATCCAATCCAGTTGCCGGTTGTAGTGCCCACAGCCCCGGTCCAATCCGGTTAAAACCGGAAAAACCGGATAGCAACAAATAAATAAATCTCAGCCCCCAGCCCAGCCCGCTAAATCACAACCCATCCCCAGCCCACCTCACTTACATCACAGCCCAGCCCACGGTCCCTTTCCCAAACCCTAATCGATCCAACTTCTTTATTCTTCTCTTCCCCTATGACCCTCAAACTTCTCTCATTCCCAATCACAGAGACACAGACCCACACACGAAGAGGAGGAGAAGGAGAAAGAAAATCCAAGCTCTTATCATCGCCCAATTGGCTCCCTCCATCACTTTGCCAACCATAGCCACTCCGCCACCAGAACTCGCCAGGCAGCGACGACGAGGGCTAGGAGATCTGATCGATTGGCACGCGACGGCCGTGACGACGAGGAGATTTGATCGATCGACACGCAACGACCGCGACGACATGCCTCTCCTATGCAGAGTTCGCATGCTCCCTCTCTCGCTCGATCTCCCCTTCCCGGCTCTTGCGACTTCAATCGATTATCCAGATCCAACTCTTCTCGCCTCTCTAACTTCAATCGAGCTCATCGGTAGGGCGAGCCAGAGTAGTGCTTGAGGGAGAAGAAGGCGATCCTTTTATTGTGTTTTGTTTGATCCAGAAGAGGGAGAGGGAGAGGAAGAGGGCGAAGAAGAATCGCCAAGGTAGATTAAAAGAAGGATAGGGTGGATTTTTTGGGAAGTAGGAATAGATTAGGGATTGTACGTGTGGTTGGTAGGAGAAGGCTAATTGGACTTTTTGTTATTGAAACAACTGTGTTTTTTTTATATAAAAACTGCTGTGTTTTGGGATTGAATAAAGGAGATCCGGTTTTTGGGTTGAAACCGGATCAATCCAGTCCGATCACGGTTAAAACCGTGTACCAATCCAATCATGTCTACGGTTGGGCATATGACCAATCCGGTTGTAAGAAAACCGGGTCAATCCGGTCCGGTTTAACCCGAACCGGACTGTTTCCCAGTCCTAGTGTTAGGGCGCTCGTCGGTGTTGTGTCGGCGTCAATCCGTGGTATGCGGCGCTTCCGGGGTCGAGCGGGAGACATCAACGCTCATATGGTGAGGGGTAGGAGGCCATGGCTGACGAGGGCGAGGAATAGGATTGAAGTCGTGATGCGCAGTCGTGGAGGAAGTTTGGGCAGGGATCATAGTATGGTGGGCAGGGATCGTGGTATGAGATCGGGTGTGGATCATATGGGGATTGATGGTAGCTCGGAGGGGATTGATGGTAGCTCGGGCGGGGATCATGGTATGAGCTCAGGAATTGATCATGATGGTAGGTCAGGCGGGGATCATTATGGGGATCTTGGGAGTGGTTCGGGCGGGGATCTTGGGACAAGCTCGGGTGGGGTTCTTGGGAGTGGCTCGGGCGGGGATCTTGATGTGAGCTCGGACCGCCACCGTATGTCACAACCAAAGGGGTTGGCACTTTTCACGCCTCCAACGGCCTTATCTCGGGCACATGAGGTCTTTCCCGAACCTTCTTGCTTTTCTTTCTCTCGTATGGTGGTGGGGGTGGGGGACATCAACTTGTACCGAAGGTGGCACCGGTGCGGGTATGGGTGGGTATCTACGATGATCACGACCTTGTGCTCTGATACAGCCAAGCAGATTGTTTGTCATCCTCCTGATGAAGCTCACATCTTCACGTCCCATTTCATGTTTCCCATGGGTCAACTCTTTGATCCGCTCGATCACATCAGCCTAAATCACATAAAAAGGTTAGCAAGATAAGACTAATGATGTGACAGCATGAAACACGCAATAAATTTAATCTTATTAGATGGAATATACTTACCAATGCACCATCGGCCGCACCCTTCGGAGTCACGTATCGAACCGATGTTTGCCGATATCTATCCATGTATGGGTCATGATACCCAATTCGACCCACACTTGTTGGAGTGACAATATCCTGAAGTTGTCGGTTCTCCCATACCGCGATCATTTCCGCCAACTTCGTGGTCCAATCGTGAGTACCTTGCCGACCATCTCGGTGGTGTAACGCCCTTTGACTCTCGGGGACTTCCAACGGAATGCACTGCTCCCGACCAAACTGACGAAGGCATCGATCCGGCAGGTGCCACTCCACGGTCCCTAAAAAAATGAGAGGGACCCTCGTGCACCATTGGCCGATATTCTCGGGGAATTGCTGTAAATGCCAATGAACGATGTTCGCCGGGTATGGATCGAATTTGATATACAAAAAAAAAAAAATAATAGTAACTTAAGTTAAATCCGATTGGAAAAATACATGTACTCCATGAAAAAAAGTTATAGCACTTAGAAGTATTCTAATTACCTCTCCTTCCCAAAGTTGCTCTAGCCTCCCCCGATACTCTACCAACTTGTGTTGGGCAAGGTTGTCGCATGTTGAGGCTCCAACCCACCTTATTAATTAGACGATAATAAAAATACACTCAATTAAAATAAGCTAAAACATAAGGAAAATTGTGTTATTAAAATCATGATGGGGTATGAGAAATTTACCTACAACCATAAGCTTCGAGTCTTAGGGGATGATCGGGACCCAAATTCTTGTCGGGACATTGGAGCGGTGCAATCCACGGCAGATGCTCCCAAGCCCAAAACTGGACAATGAACATTGCGCCGCTGACCTCCCTCACAGCTTTGAGAGATGCATTGCACAAATGGTGGTAGATATTAGCTAGGCAAGAGGATGCCCAACTCAACTCCCCCATCGCATCCCAACTACCAAGGAGGATCCTAAGCCATCCACAACTAATTAAATTGCTCGATTTTTTGGAGAAGAACACTCCTCCTATCATGTGTATGAGATAGACACGAGCATATCTTTCCTTCTCCAGCTCCGGACTTTCCTCGGTTAGGGGCACCCCATCTTTTTCAGGATCGTGATGGTCCCTAAAATACTTCGTCAACCAAGTGATTGATACTTTGCCTTTCCTCAATTGTGGCAAGCGATCCATCGCATCAACGCTCCCCTTGGTTGGTACTTTCACCCCCAAAACACTGTGGATGAAATACTACCAACCGGTCATACCGTCACGATCCTCGGGGGGATGATCACTCACACACACCGCTTTGCCGTCGATGGGCATATGAGTTAGGATGGCGACGTCCTTGAGTGTGATGGTGCACTCTCCTTCGCGAAAGTTGAAACAATGTGTCTCCTTTCTCCATCTCTCCACAAATGCGGTGATGAGTTGGCGATCGACTTTTATGCCTACAAAATGCCTAATCGACTCCAACCGTGTCCTTTTGAGATAGGGCAAGATAACTAGGTTCCATGGGAGCACATTGGTCGTACCCCTGTAGTGGAGTATTTGTTGTGCCTCCTAGCAAAAATTTCAACGTTATTTATGATATATTAGTAACAATTTAGTCTTATAACTAAATAAACTAAAATTGATGATTTAATTTCGACCATTATTTAAATTATTTATGATATATTAGTAATAGTTTTGTCTTATAACTAAATTAATTAAAATTAATGATTTAATTTATACCATAATTCTATTATAATTATATTATTAACAATCAAATTTAATTAATTTGTGGTTTTTTCCTAGATATATACATATTATCATAAAACAAACATACTAAATTAATTGACATAAATAACATTCTAAATGAATAATAATTTAAAGAGATACATACATATTCAAACATTTGAAATTAATAAAATTCATTTAAGTACACATAAACATAAATCGTATTGGTTGTTTGGTAAGTAATTTAATCGTCTTGTTTGTTTTAAATAATTTAATCGAATAAAATGCAACACTCGTTAGACTCTTAGAAGAGGTATACATCTTCTTAAAAACGCAGCCTTTTTTACAAAAAAAAAAGGGGGGATCCGAGGATCTCTTAATACCCTATTTTTCCAAGAAATGGGAGAATCATGATTAAATTATTTCAAATTTATTTTATATTCCACTAAATACATTAGCAAAATAAAAGAAAGATAAATGATGAAGAATTGTATGTACCAGGTGATCGTTCCAAACATCTCTTGAACGATGGTTGGGTTGGTCATACAAGTCAGTCGGATCAATAGACCCTTGATCCAAATAGTACCGTTGGTTGTATATATTCACGTTGTCCCCAACCTACGAGAGAATAACAACAAGGTTAGTACATAAATTAATTAAAATGCTTATAACAAAAAAAAATTGATCAAAATAATGAGTACGTACCGCTTGAAATTTTTGATAATAAAATCCCTCTCCTTTAAACCACTCGTCCATTTTTTCGCGAAAGTCGGACATAAATTCGGCGGGTTTTGAGGGAAAAACCAAAGAAATGTTTTCTGATGGCAGATCGGACTTAGCCGCAACCAACAAACCACTATTTCCTAGGCTTTTGGGAGGGGAGGGGTTAGAGAGATAATTCTAGAGAGAGAGAGAGTGGAGAATGGTTGTGGTGTGAAGAAATCAGAGGGGGGAGGATCTCACGTTTCAGGGGCGGTCTGGTAATTTCGCCAGAGTTGAAAACGCTCCCTTCCTATGCGGTCTGCACTTCCCGAGGCGCTGACCGCTCCCTGCCGCTGCGGTCTGCGATCCATGGCGCGGATCGCTGAGGTGGCAAGCGGTCCGCCGCTGGATCGCAGCTGGATCCAATGGTCTCCAAGGCCGCTCCCGGGGAAACACAGACCGCACCTTGGAGGTGTGGTTTCCAGTCTGACGTGGCGCAAAACGCACCTCCAAGGTGCGGTTTGATAAAAATGGTGCTATTTTTGTAAATTTTGTGGCCTGGATGCTATTTTTGTAATTTTTTTAAGAGCTGCTATTATTGGAAAAATCCCTAAAAATTATTTGGGTTTTATTCTATCTAACTCAAGTCTAGGGAAGACAATGGGTCAAGTTTTGCCAAACCAAATTCCAAACCTATGGGATTATCCGTAAAAAAAAAAACTCGGGGTAAAAATCATTGAGTTTGGAAAACTCAAACCCAACTCAACTCGCTAGGTATCCACGGTGGGTTCATGGCTACCCGTGGTTTTTTGTGGTAAAAAATTTACAATAACAAGTTCCTATCAAAATAAAAGTCAAACATCAATTTTTCAATACAAGTTATCCATACATAAAACACTAGTCTAGAAAATTCAAACAAATCACAATTACACTAAATAAAAACACAACTCTTTGTTTGCCGTTCAATCCCTTTTTGTTTGTGAGAGAACATCAAACTAAAAACATGATGTGTTCAACTTTAATTATTAATTTATGCCTCTCACTTGTTTTGGGAAGAAGGATACATTGTCTTGGTAATAAATAAAATTAGGGTAGGGTTGGGTAAAGTTAGATTGTGAGAAATTAGAATTAGGGTAGGGTTTGGGGAGCGTAGGGAGACGGAATAAGTGTGGGCGGGTATTCATGGGTAGGGTATCCCTAAATCCAACTCAACCCGGTGAATAGTGTACCGAGTATAAACTCGAACCCGGTCCAAAACCTGTCAACATGAGTTATACCAGGGTTGGGTTGGGTCGAGTATGGTGCTTCGGGTTTTGTTGCCATCCCTACTCAAATCGAACAATTAAGGATGCACAACAATTTCGGTTGGCCATTATTATTTATTTTATTTTTTGAAAAACTGGCTAATTGGTTTTGGGTTTTGTTTATGTGGTTAATAATAGTTTTGTTAACTAGATTGAACCGTTTTACTACTCATAGCCCCGACCAACCCAAAATTGATTGCATACGTGAGTGATTGTTAATGAGGTTGCTAATTGTCGCCCTAATTTTATTAGATTATCCTATTAATTTACAAGTTCTTATTACCTCTTTATCCTTCTTCTTTATGTTAAGAGATATTTTATTTTAATAAACACCATTCGTCCAAACAATTTGATAATGACCATTGTTTTGATTTCCACCACCGACCCTGACTTTGTCGGCCGCCACCATACCAATCGAACAGAGTAACTTGCCTGGGAACAATACAATCGGGACCGACCGCTTCCACTAATGCATCACCGGCGAACTTGGTTCTTAATGGATTGGGATGCTGCACAAAAACTAAAATCAAACTCATTAATAAAGAGAAGCATTGAAGTTGATGGAGAAATGGAGGAAGCTTTTTCCATTGTAGTGTACCTTCGTGACAGAAATGGCTTAATGAGAGTAATGGATGTGGGAGACGCGAAGAACAAGGAAATGGTGGATTATGGAATCCTCTTGCGGCTGGGTGGACAAGGAGAAGGATGCAGGCTACGACTAGGAAAAGGAACGGTGGGATTGCAGGAAGGATGGCGGTTGAGGGGTGTTTGGAGAGGAGGTCGGCGGTGTTGGAGGATGACTAGGGATTTTAGGGTTTGTTTGTTGAATTTTGTTTGATTAATGAAGAAGATAATTTAGTAATTTTATGTTTTAAGTTAGGGCGATGTTTAGCTATCCCGTTGTTAATTGAGTGAGGGACGAAAGTGACAGGATTTTTTTTCAGAAATAGCACTGTTTAAAAAATAAATTACAAAAATTACAACCCCCGAAAAGTTCAAAAAATAGTACCATTCCGCAAAAACCGCCAGCCCACCTAGCGGTTTACACGAAACTGCAGGTTGGGGGTGCGGTTTTCAATGAAAACAACACGGGTAAGGGCTGTTTTCATGATCGTCTGGGGTAGGACCGGTTTGGTCCAAAATCGTTGCCCACCCTGCGGTTTGGTCCAAAAAAATTCCGATCAATTCTAACCTATGTGGAAACTTCCAACGACCGTATCTTTGTGCTCGGGTATCCGATCGTAAGGAATTTTTTTTGATTCCGCATAATTTTTTGAGATCTTGCAAGCCACAAACCCTCGTAGGTGGTTTGGTCCCGCCTTCGTCCAGAAAATATGTCGTTTGCTACCCCAAACGAGCTTTTTTCCGATTTCGTCAAACTTTGGATGACCATAACTTTGTGCTCCAAAATCTGAACGTCATGAATTTTTTTTTCATTTCGCATAACTTTGCGGATTTCGTATAAACCACTGGGTGGGGTGGCGGTTTTTGAGAAATGATGTTATTTTTTGAATTTTTCGGGGCTGGATGCTATTTTTGTAAAAGAAAAAATCAAACAGTGCTATTTTTGGAAAAAATCCAAAATGCCATCACAAAATGTTTTTTTAGTTGCGTTACGACTAAAAATAATGATTCTTTTGTGGTGTATTGACTATTGGTTTTATGGATTAAAATTCTTTTTATTCTCTACGAATTTTATGATGGCTAATGTGAGCCAAATCTCATTGCATGTGAGTTTGATCATGGCTCTCTCATTTTGCCATCATCCCCAAATAGGCATTGATCGTGAAGACTAATCGTCTGCGGTCTGCTCAACGTCAAATGAGATGTTAGGAATATTAGTGATCGACGTAGTTAGCTTGAGCCCATTGTACGTAACCGCCCATTTATATTTAGCCCATGTAATTAAGCCCATGCAAACCATGCACGAGATACACGTTGAGTGCTAGGGTTTGATGGGATATATATTCTTCTCTCTTGGACTCGGCCGAACAACTAAGTCAGATAGTGCATTGATCTTGGAGAGTACAAACTCTCCCGTGGATTAGTCCTGGCATTCCAGGGATACCATGTTAAATTCGTTTGTGTCATTTATTTCGGTTTGTTAACATGGTATCAGAGCTTTCGGCAATGGAGTCTGAGAGGATTTAGATCGTCTCAATTCGAAGAACTTCGCACTGTGGGAGTTCTAGTTTCGCATTTTTGTTGAAGGGAGAGGGCTTTTGGGTGTCCTCGATGGTTCTGTACCTCGACCAGCAGAGACGGCTACAGCTGAACAGATTAATCAATGGAATCTGAATGATGCCAGGGTTCGGTCCTGGCTACTGAGATCCGTGGATCCGAAGATTTGCTTGGGGCTCCGATTGCATCCGACGGCGAACAGTATGTGGAAAAAGTTGTCGGCTACCTATTCTACATCTAATGCAGCTCGTCAATTTGAAATTGAGACGACATTAGCCCAATTGGAGTAGGGGGATAGAGATGTCAACACATATTTGATGGAGGCACAAGAATTGTGGACTGAAGCTGATCTGCTAACGACTTCACTTCGGCCTGCTAAAGTTTCCGCGGCGGTAATTGAACAGCGCCAGCATGCGCGCATTTTGCATTTTTTGATGAAGCTCAGACCGGAATTTGAGGCTGTAAGGTCGAGCATCATTCATCGGGGCACTCTAACTATGGATGGCGTTCTCGGGGAGCTTGCGCGAGAAGAGATCCGTCTCCGAACTCAGGCGCAAATGGACTTACGTCCAGGCGAAGGCGAGACTGTCCTTGTTGCTGCTGCGAGATCAGATTCGGTTCGGCTTTTGCGGTGGGCAAACCTCAAATCCACCGCCGCGTGCCTGTTGCTGAGCTGGAGTGTCATTATTGCCGTGAAAAAGGGCACCTCCAAAAGCATTGCAAGCGTCGTAATTACTGTGTATACTATAAGAAAGGAGGACACATCATTTTGGAGTGTCGTTTGTTTCAGAAACATCATGGGAAAGCAGCTGAAGTCTCGGCACCTGGAACCCAGATTTCTTGTCTAGTTTATGTAGCACCACGGGCAGATGAAGGAGGCAGCTCGGGCGTGAATGCAGCAACTATCGAACAACTTGTTAATGCTGCCCTTCAAAAGTCTCTCCCTACCGCAATCAGTTCAGCATTTGCCACAATACAAGGTTCAGGTAAAAGCTCCCCTTGGCTCCTCGATTCTGCATGCTTTAACCATATGACCAGCCACTTGCCCAAACTTACTCATGTTCGACCAGTTCAGAATATGGGTCTGCGAGGTGCTAATGGGAATCGATTAGATGTGGCGGGTATTGGATGTGTTAGAGAGTCTAAACTTTCATTACCCGATACATTACATGTTCCTAAATTAGTGCCTAACCTGGTTTCGGTTGGCCAGTTGACTGTTCAGGGTTGTTATGTTTTATTTGCTCCCACTGGGTGTGTTATACAGGATTTGAAGACGGAGAGGCAGATCGGAAGGGGGAGTAAGAGAGGGCAAATTTTTGAGCTAGAGGAGCTGTCACGTGTCTCATCATCATCGGTTTTGAGTAGTTCTCCATTTAGGACTGTCAGTAGTCATTCATTGTCTTTGTCATCGAATTATGGGTCTAAATTGTTCCCTTTGAGTTGTGCTAGTGTGTCGGATACTAGTTGGGACTTATGGCATTCTCGCCTGGGACATCCCAACTCTGGTCGTCTTCAAACTATGTTTCGTCAACATTTGCTTGGAAATAATAAAGTGACATTGCCCTCTACTCATTCATGTTCTAGTTGTGTTGAAGCCAAGACTATTAGCATATCATTTCCGTCCAGCCATACTGTTGTTTCTAAACCTTTTCATATAGTTCATACCGATCTTTGGGGCCCTACATCTATACCATCCCGACATGGGTATCGATATTTTGCTTTGTTTATTGATCACGCCACTCGATTCACTTGGGTCTATTTTTTGCGTCTTAAATCTGATCTTTTATCTGTCGCCACTGAATTTTTACAAATGATTAAGACGCATTTTGATACCCAAGTGAAAGTCATCCGTTCTGATCCTGGCGGTGAATTTAGTTCTTCACCCCTCCTAGCATTATATCGTTCCCTAGGTATGCGCTATCAGAAATCCTGTCCTGGCGTTTCTCAGCAAAATGGCTTGGTTGAACGAAAAAATAGAGATGTTCTAGATCTTACCCGGGCTCTTCTGTTGTCTTCTTCTGTTCCGTCCAGTTTCTGGCCTGAGGCCGTGGCCACCACAGTTCGTCTTATAAATTATCAAGTCACTCCCATTTTGAAAAACGTCAGTCCCTATTTTTCCTTGTATGGTCGGCATCCTGATTACACTCGCTTGCGGGTTTTTGGATATTGAGATGTGCACAAAGGGTACCTTTGTTATGACCCTTCCCTTCAGCGCATACGCATAGCAGCCACGGTTGTATTTTTTGAACATATCATGTTCTACACTGCCACCTCTGATCCACCATTGTTTTGTCCACCTTTGTCCTCGTTGCCGATGTTTGATGATGATGAGGGCGATGATTCTCTTCCGCCACACCCACCAGATACTACTCCTCCTGACCAAGATCTGCCTCCCTCGCCTGCGCCATCATCTATTGGTTCGTCCTCAGCTTCAGCCCTTCCTCGTCCGCATCATCGGCTGCCAGTTCATCCACTTCAGCTTCATCGAGCTCCCCCCCCCAGCTCCGTCCTCGCCTGCGGAACCTCCAGGCTTGCGTCGTTCTCTTCGGATGACTAGAGGACAGCCGCCACCAAAGTTTGATGATTATGTTACATTTGGTGTTGATGCTATTTTGATTCCTACTAGCTATAAACAGGCCAAGGAGGATCCTCGTTGGGGTAAAGCTATGGATACAGAAATTGATGCACTTCATGCAAACAATACTTGGACATTGGTACCTCGCCCACCGCCGGAAGTTCCTATTGTGGGTTCTCGTTGGTTATATGCGGTGAAGATGCTACCGGATGGGTCGGTGGAAAGATTTCGGGCTCGTCTCATTTCTCAGGGATTCACACAGGAGTACGAGGTCGACTACGATGAGACGTTTGCGCCAGTAGCTAAAATGGCCACAGTTCGGACGTTGCTTGCAGTTGCTTCCCTCCTCAATTGGCATCTTTTCCAGCTAGATGTAAAAAATGCCTTCTTACACGGTGACTTAAAGGAGGTTGTGTACTTAGAACGCCCGCCTGGCTATGCATATGGCGATTCTTCACATGTTTGCCTACTCCATCGTTCGCTATATGGTCTTAAGCAGGCTCCGCGAGCCTGGTTCGAGAAATTTCAGAACACGATCTTGCAGTTTGGGTTTAATCAGAGTCTAAGTGATCCATCCATGTTTACGAAGAAATCGGCGACTGGTTTGGTTGTCCTGCTATTGTATGTTGATGATATGATCATCACCGGGGATGATGTTCATGGCATTGTAGAACTGAAGCAAGGGTTGCAGAAGGCATTCAGTATTAAAGACCTCGGTGAGCTGCATTACTTTCTTGGTCTTGAAGTAAGTCGCACTTCCCAGGGCATTCTTCTTAACCAAAAGAAGTATATCGGTGATTTATTGAGTGATCATCATTTTGAGGATTGTAAGCCCGTCAGTACACCCATGGAGTTAAATTTGAGGCTTAGTCGAACTTCTGGTGATTTGTTGCCTGATGGTGCTGGATATCGCAGCTTAGTCGGCAGTCTTATTTATTTGGCAGCGACGCGGCCAGATATATCTTACGCCGTTCAGATTGTCAGTCAGTATATGGCAGCACCGCAAGTGGATCATTTAGCCGCAGCACATCGGATCCTACGCTATCTTCAGGGAACACGGGATGTGGGTATGTTCTTCCCTTCGACTGGTAATCCTATCCTCCGTGCCTATTCTGATTCTGATTTTGCAGGTTGTATTGACACTCGCCGATCCACGACTGGGTGGTGTGTTCAATTTGCTGGTTCCTTCATTTCCTGGCGGTGTAAGAAACAAGACAAGGTGTCCAAATCTTCTACAGAGGCGGAGTATAGGGCTATGTCGGATGTGAGTTCGGAGTTGATTTGGTTGCGCCGACTGTTGGGTGATTTTGGTGTTTCTTGTTCACTGCCCATGGAGCTTTTTGTGGATAACACCAGTGCTATCCAAATTGCCACCAATCCAGTGCTCCATGAGCACACGAAGCACATTGAGCTCCATGTCCATTACATTCGAGATCTTGTTCGTGGTGGCACTATTAATCTGCATTACATTCGGACGGAAGATCAGATAGCAGATATATTTACCAAGTCGTTCACTAATGCTCGCCACTGGTACCTGTCTAGCAAATTGATGCTTCGTTCTCGACATCAATTTGGGGGAGGCTGTTAGTGATCGACGTAGTTAGCTTGAGCCCATTGTACGTAACTGCCCATTTATGTTTAGCCCATGTAATTAAGCCCATGCAAACCATGCACGAGATACACGTTGAGTGCTAGGGTTTGCTGGGATATATACTCTTCTCTCTTGGACTCGACCGAACAACAAAGTCAGATAGTGCATTGATCTTGGAGAGTACAAACTCTCTCGTGGATTAGTCCTGGCATTCCAGGAATACCACGTTAAATTCGTTTGTGTCATTTATTTCGGTTTGTTAACAAGGAAAACGATAAAGTATACACATCGAGATTCATTTACCAATCAAATGTTCGTTTCATTGTAAACTAGTCAGAAACATGAGAAAAGTTATTTCTCTATATTTCGAGAATCACATTTCTTTTGCAAATGGGGGTTTGTATGTTTTACTATATAATTGGCATGATTAATTTCCAACTATGTAGCGTGTTTGGCAAAAAAATTCACGAGGTTATGAAATTCATTATCAGAATAATGACTGTGCGAGTTTCCAAAAATATGGGTTATAGGTATAATATGCCTCTCTACTATGTAGTTTTATCAAACATGTCCCTTTACTATTTTTTACATCAAACATGTCCTTGTACTTTCAAAAAATGATCAAACATGTCATTCTGTTAAAATTTCAATTAAAAAAACGTCAACCATGGTTGAACCGAGATGTAGACGACCCAACATCGGCAAATGAGAGGGAAAATGTCAGTTTTGTCCCTCATTTTATTTTTCTAGGTCTCGTTAAAGTGAAATTATTAGAGGTATTTGGCTCTACAAAAGAACCCAAAAAATTCTAAAGTAAAATTACCAGGGATATTTTAGACATTTGTGTCGCCTAAACCAAAGTTCGACCGTGGTTAACTGTTTTTGGATGAAAATATTAACAGAAGGGCATGTTTGATCATTTTTCCAAAGTACAGTGGCATGTTTGATGTAAAAAATAGTAGAGGGGCATGTTTGATAAAACGACATAGTAGAGGGGCATATTATACCTATAACCCAATATTTTATAGGTAAATGAGATTGACTGATTTAAGTAATCTATAGCAAGTTAATGATGGTTGCTAAATATTCATTTGGAAATTCATTATCAAAACAATGACGGTCATAGAATAATTTGAATGCCTCGAAGCAGTTTTTGGATGCATAGTAGTAAACGACTTGGACAATGTTCAAGTCCAACAATGTCACCTCTAGGTTTCAACTCCAACAAATAAAATAAAATAAATACTTTCTCCTTTCACACCCACATATATATATATATATATATATATATATATATATATATATATATATATATATATATATATCATCGTGTTTGTACATCCCAATCCTTCCATTCCATATATACATCAACCAAACCAAGAACAAGTGAGGGAGAGAAATTGAGAAGAAATGGGAGAAGTTGAAGAGGTTAAGCTTTTGATGACGGGCCTAAGTCCGTTCGCTGGAAGGATCATTTGGGCACTGAAGCTCAAAGGCGTGGAGTTCGAGTCGGTGGAAGAAGATCTGACCAACAAGAGCGATTTGCTTCTCCAAAGCAATCCCGTTCGCCAGAAAATCCCAGTCCTCATCCATAATGGGAAGCCCGTGTCGGAATCGCTTGTCATCATGGAGTACATCGACGAGGTGTGGAACCAAACTTGTCCTTTGCTGCCGGCCGACCCTCACCAGAGAGCTCTAACTCGATTCTGGGCTAAATTTGTTGATGAAAAGGTAACTTATGTATAAACTCTAGAAGAAGAAAAAAAAATATTATGTTAGTAAAAATTGTAAATGGTATGTGATAATTTGGACAAGTTGGCTTTATTCGAATTCCGGCGATCCTTGATTCTTTCGGAGAAGTCTTCTTATTTGAATCCTGATGATCTTCGATGTTAAGCACATGATATTTATATGTGCAAATTTTAGAGTTGGTTTCATAGAGTTGGTTTCATTTGTGGGGCAATATTAGTGAACGATTAATATCCATATAGTTGAGCATTTCCATTAATAACTCGAGCTATAAAACAGACTAATAGGTTTATGAAATATATATTACAGGTCTTTAATTAGTATTTGTTAGTGCATATTCGATAGTAAATAAGAAAGAGCCCTTATCTTCTTTACCACCCCAGAATCTCCTATAGCTCTTGAATTTGCATGTTCGATGGGATCGATGCTCGGAATTAGGGAACATTGTCCTCATTGAACTTAATTTTGTGTTGTTGAAGGCTTTTGCATCAATGTGGAGTGCCCTACAAATGAGAGGCAAAGAAGGAGGCGAGGCTGCCCTTGAAGAAGCTCATGAGAACTTGAGGATCCTTGAGAAGGAGCTGGAAGGGAAGCAGTTCTTCGGTGGGGAGAGCATTGGACTTGTGGATGTAACATTTGGGTCCTTCGCAAAACTTTTAGATGTGTTGGATGAAGTGATGGGCAGTGACAAGAAGATGATTGATGAGGACAAGTTCCCACTGATGGGGAAATGGAAGGAACAACTGTCTGAGCTTGCTGTTGTCAAGAGCTGTCTGCCGCCGGTTGACAAATTGGCTGCGGCTGTCCAAGCCCGACGCAATGAATCAGCTGCTGCCTAGGCCTAGCTATATGTTTTGACGTTGTGCATTTGGATACAAGAAAGAAATTGATAGGGGGATTTTAAATAAATGATAATGAGTTTCTAATTTGGAAGTTAAGGCTGTAGTTATTCTAATGAATAAAATCCTTATCAGTATTATTGATTTTGGGTTTCTTCATAATCTTATGTGGTTGTTTGTTTAGAGGTTTTTTATCATATCGCAATGAGTTGTTAACTATTTGATATAAGTAATTAATTATTATATTGCAAATGCTTCTTTTACCCCACTCTCCATTCTACAACCATTTTGTTGAGTTATTGTTCACTAGGTTTTCATCAATGACTTTTTTCACAAATCATCGCCTTTGTGTTTAGTTATTGTTCGGTAGGTTTTCGTCTATAGCTTCTTGCACAAATCATCGCCTTTGTCCACCATTTTGCAGCCCATCTCGAAATACTGTCGGCGGAATCCTAAGTTGTTCCCCACCACCGTTTCCCAAGGCCGTTCGCAAGATTTTTTTGTATTAGGACCGAGTTTCATACTCTTTAGTGTTTTTTCTTTCTCTTTTGTTCTTTTTGTTGAGCATGATCACAATTGAACCCAAACACATGGGTATCCTAACTTGAACACAAATCATCACCTTTGCCCACATTTGGAAACCCATCTACTGTCGGTGGAATCCTTAGTAGTTCCCCATCACTGTTTCCCATGGAAGTTACCACGAGTTTTACATTGGGACCGAGTTTCATCCTCTTTAGTTTTTTTCTTTCTCTTTTTCCTTTTTGTTAAGCATGATCACAATTGAACCCAAAAACATGGTTATCCTAACTTGAACACAAACTATCGTCTTTGCCCACCATTTTAAAATCCATCTCGAAATACTGTCGGCGGAATCCTAAGTTGTTCTCCACCATCGTTTCCTAAGGCCGCTACCACGAGTTTTGTATCGGGACTGAGTTTCATCCTCTTAATGTTTTTTTATTTCTCTATTTCCTTATTGTTGAGCATGATCAAAATTGAACCCAAACACATGGGAATCCTAACTTGAACCCAAACACATGGGTGTTCGTTAGGTTTACATCTATTGTCCATTGTGTTTCACATAACAATTATTGCCTACTAGGTTTTCAGCTCCCTATTGCAGCAACTATCCACTTTTCGCAACCCAACTCGAAACACTGTCGTTGAAATTCTGAGTTGACCTCTTTCACCATTTGCCATGGTCGCGACCAAAGATCCATACTAGATATGCTCTGCCTAATCCTCAACATCGCTCACCAATTCACAACCTTCTCAAAACAATGTCGACAAAATCCTAAGTTATCCCCCTCCACCGTTTCCCAATGTCACTACCGAAAATCCATACCATATCTACTCAATGTTGGCGAGTTTTGTGTCGGGACCGAGTTTCGTCCACTTTAGTGTTTTTTCTTTCACTTTTTTCTTTTTATTCAGCATGATCACAATTGAACCCAAATCTATGGGTATCCAACCTTCTTCTATCCGGTCAAAGCGACTTGAAACCTACTTTAGCATTTATAAATTTCTCTTTTTTTCTTCTTTTGGTTGGGAAAACAATTGAACCGAATCTAAGGTATTGACGAGTGTTGTATTGTGAGCGAGCTTTATCCACTTATGTAATTGGCAGGTTGTACCAAGTGTTAATTTGTTAAAAAAATGTTCAAAGCGAGTTGAACACGTTGTTGACCAGTTTTAGATTGAAAGCGAGTTTTGTACGCTCTAATATTTTTTTATTTCTCATTTTCGTTTTCGTTAAGGATGACAATTGAACTCTGGCCCATTGTTGATGCGTTTCGTATCGAGAGAGAGTTTTATTCACTTTTGTAATTGACAGGTTGGGTAAATTGTGAATTTGTTAAAACTGGGTCGACCCGATCAAAGCAAGTTGAACGAGCTGTTGAGAGTTTGGGTTCATGTGAAAGTTTTATCCGCTTTAGTATTTTTTTATTCTTTTCCTTTTGGTTGAGAATGATAATTGAGTCCAAACGCATGGGTATACAACCTAATTCGACCCAACCAAAGCGACTTAAACCTGATTTTTTAGGTTTTCAATGGGAGCGAGTTTTATATGTTTTTGTAATTGGCGGGTTGTGTCGGGTGTGAATTTGTCCAAAACTTTGTTCAACCTGGTCAAAGCGAGTTGTACTAGTCATACAAATTGTAACATTAGCATAATTAAAGAAGTTCAAACATAAATAATCTATTTGACGACCCTTTTGCCTTATGCCTTATGCAAGTTCATCGACCATATGCTATTGTAAATAACAAACATATGAAAAGAATGATTAGAAATGAAATAAGATTACTTTTACTTTTGGATCAACATGAAAACTATTACTATTTAAAATATTTATTTAGCATGATCACAATTGAAGCCAAAAAACATGGGTATCCTAACTTGAACACAAATCATCGTCTTTGCCCACCATTTTGAAATTCATCTCGAAATATTGTCGACGGAGTCCTAAGTTGTTCCCCACCATCATTTCCCAAGGCAGCTACCACGATTTTTGTATCGGGACCGAGTTTCATCCTCTTCAGTGTTTTTTAATTTCTCTATTTCCTTTTTGTTGAGCATGATCAAAATTGAACCCAAGCACATGGGTATCCTAATTTTTTGTTAGGTTTACATCTATTGTCCATTTTGTTTCCCATAACAATTATTGCCAACTAGGTTATCAGCTCCCTATTGCAGCAACTATCCACTTTTCGCAACCCAACTCGTAACACTGTCGATGGAATCCTGAGTTGACCTCTTCAACCGTTTGCCATGGTCGCGACCAAAGATCCATACTAGATATGCTTTGTCTAATCCTCAACATCGCTCACCAATTCAACACCTTCTCAAAACACTGTCGACAGAATCCTAAGTTGTCCCCCTCCACCGTTTTCTAGTGTCACTATCGAAAATCCATACCATATCTACTCAATGTTGACTAGTTTTGTGTTGGCACCGAGTTTTATCAGCTTTAGTGTTTTTTCTTTCATTTTTTCCTTTTTGTTGAGCATGATCACAATTGAACCCAAATCTATGGGTATCCAACCTTCTTTGATCCGGTCAAAGCGACTTGAAACCTACTTTAGCATTTATAAATTTCTCTTTTTCTTCTTCTTTTGGTTGGGAAAACAATTGAACCTGAATCTAAGGTATTGACGAGTGTTGTATTCTGAGCGAGCGTTATCCTCTTTTGTAATTGGCAGGTTGTACCAAGTGTTAATTTATTAAAAAATGTTTCAAAGCGAGTTGAACACGTTGTTGACCAGTTTTAGATTGAAAGCGAGTTTTGTACGCTTTAATATTTTTTTATTTCTCATTTTCCTTTTCGTTAAGGATGACAATTGAACTCTGGCCCATTATTGATGCGTTTCATATCGAGATAGTTTTATCCTCTTTTGTAATTGACAGGTTTGGTAAATTGTGAATTTGTTAAAACTGAGTCGACCCGATCAAAGCGAGTTGAACGAGGTGTTGAGAGTTTGGGTTCATGTGCAAGTTTTATCCGCTTTAGTATTTTTTTTTATCCTTTTCCTTTTGGTTGAGAATGATAATTGAGTCCAAACGCATGGGTATACAACCTAATTTGACATGGCCAAAGAGACTTCAACCTGATTTTACAGGTTTTCGATAGGAGCGAGTTTTATCTATTTTTTTAATTGGCGGGTTGTGTCAGGTGTGAATTTGTCCAAAACTTTGTTCAACCTGGTCAAAGCGAGTTGTACTAGCCATACAAATTGAAACATTATCGTCATTAAAGAAGTTTAAACATAAATAATCTATTCGACGACCCTTCTGCCTTATGCCTTATGCGAGTTCATCGACCATATGCTATTGTAAATAATAAACCTATTGAAAAGAATGATTAGGAATGAAATAAGATTACTTTTACTTTTGGGTCAACATGAAATATTTATTTTATGATACGCGAAGCGACAGCGAGCGGGCTTTTGCTAGTTTAATATATAAAAGCCTAGGTTGTGAGTTACTATTCATTAGTGGCTCTCACACTCCTCCAAGTGCAAGTGAGGAAGTTTTAAACCCTTCTTTTACCCCCCACTCTCCATTCTACAACCTTTGTGTTTAGTTATTGTTCGTTGGGCTTTCGTCTATGGCTTTTTGCACAAATCATCGCCTTTGTGTTTTGTTATTGTTTGCTAGGTTTTTGTCTATGACCTTTTGCAAAAATCATCATCTTTGTGTTTAGTTATTGTTGGCTAGCTTTTCGTCTATGACTTTTTGCACAAATCATCGCCTTTATAAAAGCCTAGGTTGTGAGTTACTATTCATTAGTGGCTCTCACACTCCTCCAAATGCAAGTGGGGAAGTTCCAAACCCTTCTTTTACCTCACTCTCCATTCTACAATCTTTGTGTTTAGTTATTGTTCGCTGGGTTTTCGTCTATGGCTCTTTGCACAAATCATCGTCATTGTGCGTAGTTATTGTTCGCTAGGTTTTCGTCTATGGCTTTTTGCACAAATCATCTCCTTTGCCCACCATTGCATCTCGAAATACTATCGGCGGAATCCTAAGTTGTTCCCAACCATTTTTAAGTATCTATTTATATACTTTTATTTCTCAATCCTCACTTTCCTATTCTTTTATTCCAACACTCTTTTTTTATTTTCTTGGATTTTATATATTTTAAATATTATGTGTTATTATACATTAAGCGTACTTTTCATTGTTTTTGTAACGAAACCATTTTTTTCGTGTTTGGTTTTACATCTTTAGTTATCCCGATCGAGTTCAAATGGAAAATTCATGGAGAAATCTCCTAATATGAATTACCATTCATTAGAATATTTTTAGTTGTTATGTTGAAATCGACCTATTTGTTCGTATTTTATTTTTCAATCATACTCATCTCTTTCTTGCTCGAGCTCAAATGAGAAGATCACAGAGAAATCTCACTCCCATTAAGAGGATGGAAGTGTTCTCAGAACAAAAAAACATAACCTACGTTCTTCCGACTTTTTTCCTTTGTTCTTTTCCATTTCAAATACATAAACTTGCAAATTCTCTAATTAATATTATAGAGCTCCAACTATGTAGATTATCTTCCTTTGTTTCATAACCTCATTAGTCAAAGAGTGCATATTGCTATAAGGATTTTCCACATTTTTTTGTTTTTTCTTATTGTTTTTGGAGTTATATCTTATGAGTTACATCTTAATTACTAAGTCTTTTGTACACCATATTTATAGTATGTAGCGCGAAGCGCAAATTGTAATGAAAAGATTAGTTTCGTAGATGTGCTTTCATATATGAATTTAGTTGAGAGAAAATGATGTAAATACTATATATTGATCACCATCATACAAATTTGTGGATCTTGAACTTCTTTACAATTCAATTTCAATGCAATCGAATACAAATTCCATCTATGAAGATCTCACCAACAAGAGCGACATCCTTCTACTACACAATCGTGACCACAAGCCCTTGTTCTCCTCCCCCATGGAAGACCCATTTGTGAATCTGACACGCTAAAACACAACACCAAACCGTGACCAAGTGTAATCGCAGTCCGGAAATGCAGACTAGTGGCAAGTTCTATTTGTCAACCCGGGGTCTCGATCTACTGCCTTATCCGTGATTATCTATTATCTAACAAACTAAGTCGAGTGATTGTGATTTTAAGCAAAAGCAGTAAGAAAGCAGGAAATGGTTCGAAGTTCTTAATCAAGGGAAGAGTCACTCGGGAATGAGTCCCCTTATCTCCTTAGTTAGGTCAAGGTTGTAATTACCCTGGGTTGATAAACTGTTGATTAAACTGCGGAACATCTGACAGTAGCTTGGAATCTCTTAAGCTGACCAAGCCCTCTCAGCAAGACTAACCGGCAGGCGAATAGTCTTCACCTAGATAGACTGTTGAGGCAATAAACGCAGAAATCCACTACTGGAATTAGATTCCAGTACAAAGTAGTAAATCGATTAACTCTCGTATAACCAATCTACCACTACCGATTGATGAAGCTCTAACAACCTAATCAGATTCTATCTATCTCAGGTTGCAGCAAAAATCAAGAAAAGATGATCAGGCTTCAATTGACTCAATGAATCATTCATCAATCGATTAAAAGCAATCAGTATATCAATCCCAAGTCATTACAATCAAGATCCCTAACACATGGAACTAGGGTTCTTCATACCCAAGTGAGAGAGAGTTCTACTCCATAGAAAGAGAGAGGAAAACAGAAATCAGAGTAGTCATACTCATAAAGATGAGGATAATCTGCTCTGGGATGACGATCTTCACTCTTGGGGATGCAATCTAGGCTTCAATGGTGAGAAATCCACTCCAAATAGCTCCTAGGTCTTGTTCTTTGCACTTTCTCTCTCTAAAGCTCTGTTTTTTGCTCAAAACTCGATTCGCTCTCCTTTGGCTCGAATCTGCCTCAAAAACCCGATTCTGGGTAAAATACGGGCTGAATTACGGTCGTAAACAAGGTATGCCCGTAATTCGCCCAAAACGCGCGTTTCACTTAACACTGATGAGAGGAATTACCGTCGTAATTACCCAATTACTGCCAGTATTTGTGGAATTACGACCGTAGTTCATTTTTGCTCTTGCCCGTAATTTGATCTTCGAAGGCATTCTCAAGGATTTGGCTCGGCATTGCATTTACGGTCAGGGCAGAAGCAATTACGCCCGTAATTGGGCAGGGGATGCCCGTAATTTGCATCTTGAATCGCCAACTGACCTCCAAATGACCCAAAACTTGCGCCTATGCATCCCTTTACTTGTTAGGACCTGAAATACGACAAAACAAAACAACCTAGCGTAAAATAGGCCAATAAACCACAAATTCGAGCTAAAATGGTTTGGAAACAAGAGTGAAAACATGTGCAAATACGACACTATCAAATTCCCCCACACTTAACTGTTTGCTTGTCCCCAAGCAAACCAAGTCAGATACAAGGTAAGATTGAAACATCTCAATCATGCAACCCTTGGGGACATATCACATAGGCACTAAACACGAGAGTCATACTGGCTTTCAGACATCAACACATGAACAACTTCAACAGCAACCTGGACAACCACCACAGAGGACATCCGAGTGCAGCAAAATCGGGTAAAGGAAGAGTCTTCCTTCTGTTCACTAACCAACATAGACTTGACTCAACCACTTATTCAAGACAGTCACCTCATGCATAAAACTCAAGACATCAGAATTAAGACCGAGCACTCTAGGTCCTCACCGGGTAAAGAGTGTAGATAATATAAGGAAATGAATCGCTCACTCTCGACCAGTGGGGTCAGGACAAAATTTAATGCAAGATGTGCATACTCGTACTCTCAATCCCTAACGTCTCTTCACCATGACGACAACCTCTAAATGTTAGAGTTCACATATTGGGTGTCACCACTAACTAATCCAGAGGTCTTAGACACAGGTTCCAATGACTGGCTAGGGTCTTGGACATGGGGAAAAAAGCTTTTTAGGTGGTGGAAGTATTAGTAACACAAGGTTCCACAGTTCCAAGCCAAACAAACTCACAGTCATTCACACCACTTACTTTCTTCCTGTCATTCTGCATTACTCAAGTTATTCTTTAGAACACAAGAGCGAAGGAGGTCACAATAATGTTAGTATTTCTAAGCCAAACTGCTAAGAAACACTACTTAATGAGCATGATTGAGATTTTTGGTAGTGTCTCTCTTTAGCTTTTATTTATTTATTTTTCTTTTTTTCATTTCTTGAGAGAACCACCACCTCTGCACATTTTTCAAACACATGCCCAACTTTTAAGAACTACCTCCAACCCTCACATTATTTCTAGCAGAAACAGCAGAGAACATGCAAAAACCACTCTATGGAACCTTGTAAGAGATGCAAAAGGGTGATTTTTCATTGTAGACCGAAAGAAAGAAAGTGACACGGCTCAAAGGGCTGACTAGGGGATATGACACACCAGGACAATCAATTTGGTCGTGGGCTATTCCTATGCCTCCATCATCTTAGCTAATGGCAACGTCAATGCTACACATCATGGATAAGGGATCTATCGCACAAGAAAGAAACGAGCAGGCTCAAATCTCACATGGCTACCTATATGCTCTATCTCTCATTCTGATTCCCTGAACTAGATGCATAAACGACTGTCAAGAACAAGTGATCAATCCAAGTCACAATTGGTAAGCAAACAGTTGAAAAACTGAACCCCTACACAACTCTACTGCACGTCTCAGTTATCGTTATAGATTGTCCTAGTCACAATCCAGTTGCCATACATCAATTCGAAAGTCATGCGATTCACCAATTAAACCCACAGTGCCAATATGATCAAGCCAACAACAGTACTTGGAGCCCTCAAATCTCGAGATTTGTACAACGGACTAGGCTCCAAGCACACACATATACGTTCCAATAAAGACAAAGCACCCCCCACACTTAAGTTCGACATTGCCCTCAATAGAGCAGAGGGAAGGGGAATGATGTTACCAGGAAATGATGAGCGGGAACAGTGACTGGAAGGCAAACCAGTCAAGAGCAGGAGACTAGAAGTGGACCAGTCCAACTAGCACAGAGCTAGAGTCATGAAAACACACACACTGGGTGAAAGAAACCATAGTTCCAAGTGGAATCCGAAAACAAACAAAATAAACCGTGGTGGGGTTGCCTCCCCACAAGCGCTTCTTTGCCGTCGTGAGCCGGACGGTGGCTCCTAAGTTTTGGTCCATGCTAGAACCTCCTTGAAGTTGAGGTTCTCGTCGATGATGTGGGGTCTCAAGTCACAAGCACGCAGGTGGTATGACAGGTGATGTAGGCTTGTGTAATTGATGAATATGAAGTCTCCACCCGCGAGACCTCTTCTTTTTCTTCCTCACTCGTCTCATTGGCCCAAACCAGATATGACAGCATCGACCGACCACCATCGCGTCCACCAAGAGGGACCAATGTCGATGTGGCCTTGGTCTGGCAAAGAGACACTGCAAATGGGTCCTTGCCAAGCAGCTCCTCGAAGTTTGGTGGAGATATCACATGTAACTCATGGTCGGTGCAAGCCTCTTCCACCTCAACTTCATCCTTAGCCTGGACGCCAATTGCTTCTTCAACCCCCCTTACGTCCTCAGAATTTGATTCCTCCCTTGGGAAAAGATCAAGGACTTCCTCTAATTCGCTTCCGTCATCCTCCACAACTTCTTTCCTCATCCTTTCTCGCTCTTCTTCTTCTAGCACAGATTGGAGAGCAAGTCGCCATGCAATCTTTTCAATAAGATCAGCTTGCATCTCCTCACTCATGCCCGCCTCTTCAGCGCTCGGTGTGGGTTGAAGAAAGGGATGGGCGGCTACAACAGGACATTTCTGATCATGATCATCACATGAGCTCTTCTTGACAACTTCTGTATGCTCCACGACATCCTCATGATTGACTTCTTCCTCATTCTCTGCTTGTATTGTAGCATAAAGGTTGTCTTGGGAAAACTGTGCATAAGCTTTCTCAATGACCTCTATGTGCTTCTTGATGCTCCGAAGGGTCTCCTCTATTTCACGTGGAAATGAGAAGTCAGTTTGGGCAATGGCCTGTATATGAGGATCCATCTCGGAAAAGGATCTCTCAGGTACTCGAGCAATCTGCTCCACGAGAAGCCTCAAGTGATAGTTTGGATCTGGCTGTGGAGTGTAGCATGGCTCTGCCGGATGGCCTGTGAGGGCTGTGGCTAAATCAAGATTTGATGGCCCTTCTAGTTGTGGGAGGAATTCTTCTTGATAATGAGATTGTTCTTGAAATACCCAAGGGTCTGATTGTTCTTCGTAGTAGGGGGGTTGGTACTGAGACCAGACTCTATAGTCTTCTCCTCCTTGGTTGCTCCAGGAAGTCTCGGGGTAATACCACTCGGGTGGTGGTGGATACCCCCAATGGTTGGAGAAGCCATGAGGATCCATGTATCAGATCTGTACCAACAAAAACAAAATACCCAAGTGAAAAACAAGGGTGGAAAAGAGAGGATGCATAAAAGTAAATGCCAAAGTAACAGACTTTCACATTTCTACAATAACCTAGAGTTCCCCGGCAACGGTGCCAAAAACTTGACACGCTAAAACACAACACCAAACTGCAACCAAGTGTAATCGCAATCCGAAAATGCAGACTAGTGGCAAGTTCTATTTGTCAATCCGGGGTCTAGATCTACTGCCTACTCCGTGATTATCTATTATCTAGCAAACTATGTCGAGTGATTGTGATTTTAAGCAAAAGCAGTAAGAAAGCAGGAAATGGTTCGAAGTTCTTAAGCAAGGGAAGAGTCACTCGAGAATGAGTCCCCCTATCTCCTTAGTTAGGTCAAGGTTGTAATTACCCTGGGTTGATTAACTGTTGATTAAACTGCGGAAGATCCGACAGTAGCTTGGAATCTCTTAAGCTGACCAAGCCCTCTCAGGCAGACTAACAGGCAGGCGACTAGCCTTCACCTGGATAGAATGTTGAGGCAATAAACGCAGAACTCCACTACTGGAATTAGATTCCAGTACAAAGCATTAAATCGATTAACTCTCGTATAACCAATCTACCACTACCGATTGATGAAGCTCTAACAACCTAATCAGATTCTATCTATCTCAGGTTGCAGCAAAAATCAAGAAAAGATGATCAGGCTTCAATTGACTCAATGAATCATGCATTAATCGATTAAAATCAATCAGTATATCAATCCCAAGTCATTACAATCAAGATCCCTAACACATGGAACTAGGGTTCTTCATACCCAAGTGAGAGAGAGTTCTACTCCATAGAGAGAGAGAGAGAGAGAGAGAGGAAAACAGAAATCAGAGTAGTCATACTCATAAAGATGAGGATAATCTGCTCTACGATGACGATCTTCACTCCTAGGGATGCAATCTGGGCTTCAATGGTGAGAAATACACTCCAAATAGCTCCTAGGGTTTGTTCTTCGCACTTTCTCTCTCTAAAGCTCTGTTTTTTGCTCAAAAACTCGATTCCCTCTCCTTTGGCTCGAATCTGCCTCAAACCCGATTTTGGGCAAAATACGGGCTGAATTACGGTCGTAAACAAGGTCTGCCCATAATTCGCCCAAAACGTGCGTTTCACTTAACACTGATGAGAGTAGAGGTGGCAATTAGGATCCAAATCCATGAATCCAATCCAATCCATCCACCAAATTATCCATTTAATCCAATCCATTTAAATCCAATCCATTTGATCCAAATCCAATTGGATTGGTGGATTCATGGATCAATCCATGGATCCAAATGTTAAATTACGATTTGGTACCTATATTTTTTATATTTTACATTTTGGTACCTAACATTTATATTTTTATACAAAAATATCATTGGAAAATTACATTTTGGTACCTAAAAATTTTCATTATGACATTTTAGTACCTAATGTCGCAACCGTCCCGTCCGGGGGGGGTCCGATGTCGTCGCGTCGGCATTTTTTTTGGGAGTCGCCATCGATCTTACTTGGAGTGGATCGAACACTCTTAGGATCGGCTCTAACCTTAGGGTCAGAACCGAGATATGGTCTGCGAAAATGAAGTTCTGGGTTCGGGAGTACGGTTACGTGTGGGGAAGTGAAATCACACCCCACGACGCCCTAAATTGGTACTACTTAAGTCGATAAGTTTTTTGTACGAGTTGGGTGTATTTTAGTAATATTTTAGGGTCCTACTGGACCATTAAAGAAACTAAATCGTGTTAGTTGTAATTAAATTATACGTCCACTGACGTAAAAGATAAAGTTAATTGGTTAGTTGGACTCGAACCTTATCGGTTGCCTACGTACCCGTTAGACGGGATCAAAGTCCACGTAGTTCGTTTGTACTTTGATAATTTTAAATAATATTATTACCACGTTCCGCTGATCGTGGTTTTCGCATCCAAATTTATTGTTAATAAAATTTAAGTTGATATTATGAAATTATGAAAATATAATATGAGGATTTCAGTTATTAAAAGGAGATTTGATGTATTAGAAAAGAAATGAGATGAACTTAATCCGCAATTCTACATTTCGTATTAAGGACTTCTAAACAAATTAAACTAAGTGAGATGGTTAAACTAACGCATGATGGGCTAGCAGCCCAACTGGCCTAGTTGCTAACCCTGCAGTTGATTCCGCGTGAGCAGGGTTCGAAACCCATCCAACCCCTTTTGCTCCGTCGTTTTTAATTCAGAGACGGGGGAAGGGCATTTTGGTGATTTCACGGAAACGAGGTGGCAAGGATAGGTAGTAATTAGAAAACCCTAGGGGCATTTTAGTCTTTACAATCGATGAGGTATATAAATCTCTAACGAAAACCCTAGAAAGTCGGCCGCCTCACTCTCCCTCTCGCCTCTCTCCCTCTCGTTCTCATCTTCTCCAGAGAAGACCAAACATGAACCCTAGCCGCCGCTCTCACCCTCTCTCCCCTCTCCCTCTCGTTCTCTTCCAGAGAGCGAACCAAAACCCTAGCGCCACCCTCATCTTCTTCTCCCTCGTCTCTCGCCTCCCTATCTCCCGCTAATCCCTACCTCGAAACGAAAACCCTAATCACTTAACCATCCGAACAACGCCGCCATCTACATCTTCTCCTTCTCGCGTTCTTCATGTAAATCGAGAAAAGGAGATGAGCCTTCTTCATATTTAATCTATCTCCCCTTCTCCTTATTCTGGAAACGAGTGGTGACGGGGAAAAGAGGCGGCGGCGGCGGCGACGACTGAGGACGAGCGCTGCCAACGCCAGCAGTGACGATGACGACTAGGGTTTTCTAAAGGTTAGGTTTTTTTTTTTTGGCTTGCATGTAAGATTTTTACCATTTTTCGATTTCGATTTTAAGATTTTCTATGTTCTAAACCTATTTCTTGTTTTTCTTTCGGAGATCGATCCAAAACCGAGGAGGGGGCCTCGATTTGCATTCTAATAATCTCGATCTATCGCTTCTAGTTGGAACAGAGGTGACGAGGAGGAGGTTTTACCCTCTGGTAAGCCCCCTTTTACAATGCATGTCCATTTTTATTCGATTTAACGAATAATATTGGGATTTTGACTTGTTTGGCTTTCCTTTGTTTTATTTTTTTTGTTTCGGATCCCTGCCGAAGGAAGGGAAGGGAAGGCGGCGGTCGCCGGCGGCGCGGCCAGCGCCAGAACCGACGGCGAGGGTTTTGTTTGGGGGTAAGTTATTTGTTTTATTTTTTATTCTCGTTTTTTACCTATTATCATTTTTGGGGTTCTAACTCTCGATTTCCTAATTTTTTGCAGATCTTATTCAATTTGAAAGAAACTAGGTGATACCTCTTCTAAACCTAAAATGGGTGGTTTAATTATCGTTATGATTGTTTATAGAACTTTCTGGTATTGTGAAAATAAATTTTGTTAGACCTCCTAGGTTTGTTTAGCCTTAATGTTTGGTTTTGGATATGGTGGAGAATTTGCTTTATTAAAATTTGAAAATCTATAATGGTCCTAAAGGTAATACGACAATCATAGCTACTGCTTATGACTGTCAATTGGTTAAACAATTTGATTAAAAGGCTAATACCGATTAGTAACAAATGGAATTTTTAATGGAAGTGTTTTATTGTATTTAGCATACAAAATAATAATCAAATGAGAACTTCGTGATTATCAAATCTGGTAATTGGCTAAAGAAAAGGGGTACCCTTAAACACAAAATGAGGTATTTTAAAATACTCTCTCAAAGGTCTGATTTGAATTTTTTTATGTTTTGAATGGATTGCTTGATTATTGCTATGTTGAAAGAGTAAATGAACTAGCCTGGCTGATAATAGTGCTAGGTTTAGCTAGCAGCTTAACAAGAATTATGCTTGCTAGAAAAACTGAGAGCAACTCAAACTGATTCATTGTATTTATGTGATAAAAAGTAAATTGTCATATAACGAAAGAAATGAATGGCATAAAGAGGCATACATGTCACGAAGATCAGAATTTCGTAATATCCACTTCGCATACAAATTTAGGCAGCCTAACTATGGATTATGAATTTAGAAGCATCATCATTTACAAACATGCTATATGAATTTTCCTACATGGATGTATGGATGACTACACGCTTGTATGATTGATGGGGTGTAGAAAAAAAACCGACCTGTGTTTGCGATTTGGTGGAGTTTTGATGGTGATAGCTTGTTGCTGTTTCTGACTCCCTGCCCTTTTTGGATCCTTAGTGCTTCTGTCTTTTTGGTGCTTAGTGCTCTTTAATGCTCTTTGTCTCCCTTTTTGTGTGTTTTTTTTTGTTGGTTCTCCCTCTCCCCCCTGTTTGGGGTAAGAAAACCCCCTTATATATGATCACTTTTTACTGTTCATTATTGTGTGCTGGCTGCTCCTCCTTTGCTCTTGAGGTGGTTGTCTGAACCAACTTTTGTGTTGGCAATTTGGTGTTGGTTCTTTGGAGGAGGTAGCCGAATTCCTCTTTTTGAGATGGCAGTAATTTCTGCTACCCTACTACTCTACTACTCTGCTGTTCGGCGGTTCTGCTATTCTTGTAGATAAGATAAGGATGATGGGTTTGGTTGACCGGGTCGGCCAGAGCTAACCCGGTCGACCCGAGTTGACCCGGGTTGACCAGAGTTAATTGGGCTGAGATATGGACCTGGATTGTGGGTTTTTGTTTTGGGATGCCCTTCTAACACTTCTTTTTTCTTTGCAGGTCTCTGGTCTGGCCCAAAATGATGACCTAAGGAGGCCCAAATAGCCTCAAAAGGCTAGGCCTCTAATTCTGATTGGTGCCACCAAAAGCAGAATTTTTTTTATTTTTTATTTTTAATTGTATAATTACAAGGTGTATCTTAAATGTCACAGATTGTAATTTGTAATTACACATTTGTTTATTTATGTCCTTGCCTTTAGAATTAGATGATCATTGTATGTATTACTCAATCATTCAATTGATTATTTCAAACCAATTCGTTAACTACAATCGTGACCAATATCCCAACTTCTAAGTAAATAATTCTTAGTTATGAATCGTGACCAATACCCCATTCAACCAATTTCAGACCTATATCACCAATCGTTAACAATATTACCGGTATAAGTCGTGACGGCATACTATTGCTATTCTAAATAAAGCGAATTTGGTAGCCATTAGCTACTGCTAATCCTACCTAGTACAAATATTCGAACTAAACAGAAGGAGGACTTCGAAATTATTGGTACTTGTTGATTTGCCACTGCTAATCTCAACCAACTCCGTCTAAACTTTCACTTGGGTTTTCTTTTTTAATTTTAAATGGAATATTCTTCCGAATTTTGAGTAGGATGGTTGCTCCGGACAAAATGTGGTGTCTACAGTTGCCCCCCTTTGTATATCTCTTTGTATAAAGAGTTATACAAAGTGCTCATGAGGACACCACATTTTCTAAAAGTATCATGATGGTTGTGTTAGGGTCCTTGAAATAGGATATGTTTTGAGGATGATGTTAGGATAGCGAATGATTTAGTGCGTTTGTATAAGATTTCCGATAACGAGAACTTCTGTTTCTTTGATCATCTTTGCTGCTGATGGAAAATTTACGTTTTTATATAGCGTTCGCCAACGCGAGTAATTTTCTAATATTCACTTTATTGTATTTCTTTTATGCTCGACAGCGTCGACGGTTTTCTCTGATGCCTATCAATCATCTTCTGCTACATTTATTTAACGCTTGCCAGCTCCAGTTAGATATTTACTGGTAGGGGCGCTCGTTATCTCTTATCCGTTATTGAATGATAGAGGGGCTCGCCAGCTCCTGTGAGGTTTTGATTGGTTGGGGCGCTCCTCAGCTCCCGTGAGGTATTAAATAGTAGGGGTGCTCCTCAGCTCCCGTGAGGTATTGATTTGGTAGGGGTGCCCCTCAGCTCCCGTGAGGTATTGATTCAGTAGGGGTGCTCCTCAGCTCCCGTGAGGTATTAAATAGTAGGGGCGCTCGTCAGCTCCCGTGCGTTGTTGACTGATAGAGGGGCTCGCCAGCTCCTGTGAGGTATTAGTTTGATAGGGATGCTCCTCAGCTCCCGTGAGGTATTGATTTGGTAGGGGTGCTCCTCAGCTCCCGTGAGGTATTAAATAGTAGGGGCGCTCCTCAGCTCCCGTGAGGTATTGATTTGGTAGGGGTGCTCCTCAGCTCCCGTGAGGTATTAAATAGTAGGGGCGCTCCTCAGCTCCCATGCGTTGTTAAATTTTGGTTTCCCTTTGTGGTATAGGGATATAGAATACTGGTTTATTCACATTGTGACATATAATAGCTTTGATAGTCAACTAGCTGGTTTGGTACAAATATCGATAACGAGTAGTCACACGGCCTAAAGGACTTCGTAAGTATCCGATAGGCTTAACATTGATATGTATTGCTTTTGTATCATATTGCTAGATAGATGTGAAAAATGTAGCGTGATATGGCATGATGTAATGTCATGATGAAAATGCGTAAATGGAGAGGGAGGATTCCCTTATGTGGACGTTTACTCGACTGGCGTGCCACCTTGTGACAAACTTTATGAGCACGTGACACAATATGTTGTATGATGAATGCTTGCCGTAAACGTAAAGGCGAATTAGTTTCTTTTATTATATTTCTTCTAATTTCTACAAATTGGTCGCCCTTCGAGAGATATGTCATTGCTCTCAACTTAATCGATCCTAGGCCTTGTTCGAAGTAGAATGGCAAGTGTACTGATAGCGTTGCCGCCTTTAATTTTCAGTTGTTAGTGAACGAGTCAACCTTCATTTCGATGTTCGCCTTGTAAAGTTGCTGAACCTCCTTTTGAGTCCCGAAAAAGGTTCCACATGAGAATGTCGTATCCAATCTTCTATCGGGTCTGCTGAATATTTGTGACCCCACCAATTTCTTTCGAGTGGTCTCGAATAAATTTCCTTTGCATGCCCACGTCACTCATAACTGCGGCGGGGAATCCCGGGTTGGCTTCTCAAAACTGTAACGATTATTGGATTTTTCCCTTCATTTGTGAACTATGAGCGTACGGGGTTAGGCCAAGGGAGGAGTGGAAATAATAAAACGAATCCACTTTAGTTATGGATATTTTGGTTAAATTGTTTTGAAATTGTTATTGTTCCCTTCGATTGTGTGCTAGTCGTGAATTGCTTCTGCTTTTTGCTAAGACTGTAGTTGGTTTACGCGACTGTATGGCCACTAGGGGTTTATCACAAGATCATATTTGTAATTAGATGGTATAAGAGGCGACAATCAGTTGCAAGTAGGATGGAATGGTAAGTAAAGGAGAACATGTGCAAGATTGAGGCAAATTCTAGCGGAATTTTATTTCTGGGGTAGAAGAAAGATACATAGCAACTACGAGATACATCAAAGAGATTCATGATTTGACAGTCCACCCTGCACTCGTCCCATTATTTTCATGGAGTCGACCGAGCATTGCCTCATCCTTATGCATAGTATTTCTTCACTGAGTCGGTGTTGACCGGATATGGTAACTCGTCTCCGTCCATGTTTGTTAATATGAGCGCTCCTCCTGAGAAGGCTCTTTTTACCACATAGGGACCTTCATAGTTAGGGGTCCATTTCCCTCTTGGATCCCCTTGTCGGAGTATAATTTTCTTCAAGACCAGCTCTCCTTCACGAAATTGTCTCGGCTTTACTTTTTCCTCAAATGCTCTGATCAATCGTCTTTGATAGAGATGACCATGATGGATGGCTCCTAGCCTTTTTTCCTCAATCAGGTTTAATTGGTCATACCTGGCATTGACCCATTCGGCATCTTCGAGTTCTGCTTCTTTTAATACCCTTAAGGATGGTATCTCTACTTCAATAGGCAATACTGCTTCCATCCCATAGACCAGAGAGAAAGGTGTTGCACCCGTTGATGTCCTCACTGTTGTTCTATACCCGTGCAGAGCAAATGGTAGCATTTCATGCCAATCCTTATACGTGATCACCATCTTCTGGATGATTTTCTTAATGTTCTTGTTTGCAGCTTCGACAGCACCATTCATCTTGGGACGATATGGTACAGAATTATGGTGTTTGATCTTGAACTGCTCGCAGAGTTCATCCATCATTTTGTTGTTTAAGTTTTTCGCATTGTCGGTGATCAACCTCTCTGGCAATCCATAACGACAGATGATTTCTTTCTTAATAAATTTTACCACCACACTTCTGGTTATGTTCGCGTATGAGGCCGCCTCTACCCATTTGGTGAAGTAATCTATTGCTACTAAGATGAATCGATGACCATTTGATGCTTTGGGTTCGATTAATCCGATAACGTCTATTCCCCAGACGGCAAAAGGCCAAGGCGATGACATGACATGGAGAGGGATAGGGGGAGTATGAATTTCATCCGCATACACTTGGCACTTGTGGCATTTCCGAACGTAGTTGACGCAGTCTCCCTCCATTTTAGTCCAGTAATACCCCATCCTTAATATTTTCCGAGCCATGACGTGACCACTTGCATGTGTACCACATATACCTTCATGTATTTCTTCAATTATTCTTGAGGCCTCCTTTGCATCTACACATCTTAACAGCGTTGAGTCGTGGTTTCTTTTGTACAAGGTTGATCCGCTCAAATAGAACCCATAGGCCAATCTGCGAATAGTCCTTTTGTCATTTCCGGATGTCCCCGGTGGGTATTCTTTTTCTTTGATGTAGATTAGGATGTCATAATACCATGGTTTGTCATCTGGTTCCCCTTCAATATTCATAAGGTATGCGGGAGCATCTCGTTTCTCGATTTTAATACATGGTATTTCACCCATTTCTTCCATTTTGTACATCGATGCGAGGGTAGCCAATGCATCTGCGACTTGGTTTTCCACCCGTGATACATGTTCAAATGTTACTTCCTCAAATTGCAATATCATTTCTTTGATGAGCTTCTGGTATGGGATGAGCTTTGAGTCTCGAGTCTCCCATTCACCTCTTATTTGGAAGATTACTAGTGCAGAATCCCCATACACCTTCAACCTTTTTATCCCCATTCCCAGGGCTGCTCGTATGCCGAAGATACATGCTTCGTATTCTGCCACATTGTTCGTGCATGCAAAGCAGAGTTTAGCTGTAATTGGTAGTACCTCACCTTCCGGGGACATAAAGACGGCCCCCACTCCTTGTCCTAGAGCATTAGAAGCTCCGTCAAACTTCATGATCCAACCTCCATGTGGTAGGTTTTCTTTTTCCTCCTCGGTTGTCATTATATTTTCATCTGGGAAATCCATAATCATGGATTCGGGATCCATAATAGCATGCTCTGCCAAATGGTCGGCAACGACGCTCCCTTTAATTGCTTTTCTTGCCACATAAACAATGTCGTATTCTGCTAAGAGGACTTGCCATCTGGCGAGGCGTCCAGTCAGTGCGGGTTTTTCGAATATGTATTTGATGGGGTCCATTTGGGATACCAAATGAGTTGTGTGATACAACATATATTGCCTTAACCTTTTTGCTGCCCAAGCTAGGGCACCACACGTCTTTTCTAAGGCCGTATACCTACGTTCACAGTCATTGAACTTTTTACTGATGTAGTAGATCGCATGTTCTTTCTTTCCTTGTTCTTGTTGTGCCAGCATTGCCCCCATAGAATTTTCGAATACAGATAAGTACAGTGTTAGGGGTTTCTTTGGTGTAGGGGGTGCTAGGACCGGTGGATTTAGAAGGTATTCTTTAATTTTGCTAAACGCATTTTGGCAATCTTCGTCCCACTCACATGGTTGGTTTTTCTTGAGTAGTTTGAAAAGGGGTTCACATGTGGAGGTCAATTGTGAAATGAATCTACTGATATAGTTCAAGCGTCCGAGGAATCCTCTTACTTCTTTCTGGGTCTTGGGCGGCGGCATTTCAACTATTGCTTTGACTTTGTCTGGATCGACTTCTATCCCTTTCTGACTTACTAGAAACCCTAGCAACTTTCCCGATGTGACCCCAAAAGTACATTTTTCGGGATTCAATCGTAATTGATATTTACGCAATCTTTTGAAAAGCTTTCGTAGGATTTCCACGTGATCTTCTCCTGGTCTAGATTTGGCTATCATGTCATCCACATAGACTTCTATTTCTTTATGCATCATGTCATGAAACAACGTGACCATTGCCCTTTGGTAAGTAGCTCCTGCGTTCTTCAGCCCGAAAGGCATTACAATGTAACAAAACGTTCCCCATAATGTGATGAAAGTCGTTTTTTCCATGTCCTCTGGGCACATTTTGATTTGGTTATATCCTGAAAAACCGTCCATGAAGGAGAATGTGTGATGACCAGCCGTATTGTCGATAAGAACATCAATATGAGGTAATGGGAAATCATCTTTTGGGCTCGCACGATTTAGGTCCCTATAATCTACGCATACTCGGATCTTTCCATTCTTTTTAGGGACTGGGACAATATTTGAGACCCATTCAGGATATATGGCTACTCGTAAGAAACCAGCATTGTATTGTTTTTGAACTTCTTCCTTGACCTTCAACAACC